TAGGCAGGGGGGGCAGGTGGGAGCGCCGGTGCTTCCCCATGCAAGTGCCAGCTGGAGAGTGGGGGCACCAGGAGAAGTGCTGCTGGCACTTCTGGGAGCGCTGCTTGCGCTTCTGGGTCAGCACGATTGGCTGTGGGGGGACACCCCCCCTCCCCCAGTTTCTGACTGGCCACTGTGGGGGCACATGCCCCCCCTGACTCAGGAGGCACCAGTCGTCCATACACCTGCATTTTATCAGTGGTGCTTTCAGCCTAGGGCTATACACCATGCCTTCAAAATAAGGACAAAAACAAGAGCCTCATACAAAAACAAATAAAATTAAATATGTCTCCATTAACAAGCCTTTAACATTTCCCAAATTGTCTGTATGTCCTGGTTTACAAAAATCTAAATTCAAATTGAAATCATACTGCACCAAGGCATTGGCATGAGGGCTTCTCTGCAAATACTCACTTTTTCTTTTTAGTAACTCTAGATGGGGGTCCACCCCCTGCTTTTTTCTTGTTTCTCACTATTTATTTTTCCATCTTTTCCTTATGCAGGGAGAGCCAGGGACTCCAGGAGAAAAGGTATCTCTTGAAAGGCATAGCTGTTCCAAATCTGTATTTACTACATTGTTTGTAGACTTGGCCCAAAATCAATATGGTACCTGAGCTTGAGACAAACTGGGGATATCTACACATTCATTAACGCTCCACAGTTACTGTGCATTAAGTTTAGTACTTAGTTAACCAAGTACTAAATCTATGCACAGTAACATGTGCTACTGCGCTCTAGCACGGGCGCACAGGTTTAGAGATGCTTACTGTGCAGTAACCTAAAACTACTGCACAGTTGTGTATTAGCAGTTTTTGCCCAGCACACTACTGCACAGAGTTATTAAGCTACTGCACAGTTAGCATCTCATGTAGATACACCTGCTGAATAACTTTTCTTCCTAACAGAGGGAGATGCACATTTTATAGAGACTTCCATATTGCAAATAGTCTCTCTTTGGTTCTTTCCCTTTCCTATTCCTTCATGCTTTGCCTATAGGCATATTATTTGGCTACTCTATTTCGTTTCCTGTCTGTCCTACAGGACATATAGCAACACAGTTTTACTGAAGAGTGGGTTATCTCACAGTCTCCCAGACCACTCCTCCCCACTTGTACTTGTACCTCCACTTGGCACATGCCCATTTTGCAGAATGGGCTAATAAGGATGCAGTCTTTTTCACAGTCATTGGGTAAATTGGTCCTAGGTTTTATGTCCAGTTATATCAGTATCATGTAAAACGATGCAGCAAAAAATATTGCAAAAATACCCTTGTATGTTCACAGGAACAAAGGGCAGCAAAGTCTTGTTTGATCTTAAACCAGGTGTGTTGTGTTTGTTGTGCTTTGCAGAGATAACCAGCCATATAACAGATGATTTTTTTTTTTAATCAACAAGGGAGAACCTGGAGTTCCAGGGAGGATGGGCCCCCCAGGTTTGCCAGGGAAAAGGGGGCAGAGGGTAGGACATTGTGTGTTTGGGCTTGGTTTCTTAGCACTGCTATACTGGGCCGTTCCTCCTCTTTGGCACTGACTGAAGAGAAACTGTTTTGCATTGCATTTCTGTGCTTGAAGTGGAATGCTCTTATCCCATTGTTGATGCTCTCAGCACATGGGTGGAGTGTGCTTTGTATGTTACTGCTTGCAAGAGACAGAACAAGAAGTGGGAGCAAATTAATTTTTTAAAGGAATTAAGTACTTGGTTTTAGCTTTCTCCTGAGAAGTTTTAATTCCAGAAGTAATAACTGACCTGAGGTGCCAGTAATCTGAACACCACTGGAATCAACATGTCTTAAATAATATTTATGCTGAGTAGTTGAAATGTGGCCTTTATATGTCCCTTTCTGCCAGCGCCCCCCCTATGACAGCTGCCCATTGGCACTAATCTTGATCTTTAAAGTATATTGGAAAGAAAATATGCTGAATACAGCCCAAGCAAAGGCCTGGACTCAGAATGGAGTGAGAAATTTCTAATCACTACTTACTTCTTTTCAATTATTGACTTCTACTACCAGCTCTTCAGCATCGCAGCAAACTCCACTCCACATGCACTAATGTATATACATCCATTCAACTAGTGGATCAATCTGAACAGATTCAGACATTCTAGAAATGACCAATATTCTAAACCTGGGAAATGCAAGCCAGCCTATTGTCTTCCCCAGGAAGAAAATCATTAGTTCATGATAACAATGAGTACATTATGAGGGGAAGAATGGCTATTGGGCATTTTGAAGGTTAAAATGTCTTATAAAAAGGTTGTCGGGGGTGGGGGATTCAGAAATGTCTAGAACAAATATCTTTTCATTAATTGTCATAAGCAATAGCATGCATGCCTTTTCTCAGAGTATTCATGCAAGTACCATGCATGTTAGATATCTGTCCTTGACCTCTGTTGAAATGAATGTACATCAAAATGCACAGGTACAGAATATGGCATGCAAGGAAAAAGGCATTCTTTATCTAGAATTCTTGTTTTCTGGATGCTGCTGTTGTTGCAGTGGAGTCACAGACTCTTGATTCTGATTACTTAAGAGCAGGAGTTGGCAACATTTTCCAGCAGTGGGTCAGAATGACCCAGCTTCTAGGACTTGGCTGTCTCCACTGCTTCTCCCTGCTGTTCAGCTGTAGCACAGCATGGGTTGAGTCCTCTAACCGCCTGACTGAGGCACATTTTGGGCAGTCAGCCCATGTCTTCCACAGAAACCCCCCACTGCTCGACTGTCACAGAGCAGGCAGAGACCCTCACTGCTGAAGCCACAGTTTTGTGGGCTAGGCCATAGGTGTCAACTCCTGATGTATAAAGTTATATAGAGCACATTTCTAAGTTAACCTGCTTTAAAAAGTAAATTAACCTGCTTTCAAAATGGTGCTGCATATCTATGCACTGTTAAGAAATACAGGCAAGTAACTGCCTTGTGCATCTCGCTCTTTGCTTATATTAACTTATAAAAGTTACTAACTTTGAAGAACTAAGAATTACAGGTAAGAAAATATCTCTAACAACAAATGTTACTGTATTAAACCTGTTCTCTGTAAGGATAAAATATTTGTAAGTGTACTTGCAACAGCAAAGAATGAAGAGTAAGAAAAAACATGCTAACTATCTTTGCTAACATGCTAACTAAACATGCTAGCTCTCTTTGCAACAGAACCTCTGGGGAAGCCATTCAAAATACCTTGAATTTGGGCTTAACTTTACAGCGTGTACACTATGAACAGATTAGAACAAGAATTTATCTAGAATTTGTCAGGCACTGAGTTTGTTGTGGAACTAACCTCTAAAGCACACAACAAATATTACAGTGAATAAAATAAGGTTGCTTTGCCAAAGTGAGCACTGGGTGGCATGCATGTGCCCATTATGCATCCAAACTGATATTTCTCCAGCTGCTCCAGTTGCTATTCCTACTGCATTTTTTGGTTGCTAGTGGTCCTGTCATGAACGACCTATCTGGTCCTCTTCTGTCCTTTTAGCTTTCCGTACTCCTGTTTCCACCTCATTTCATTAGCACTGAGCAGTATAGAATTTGATTGCTTTGGAGATGATGCGCTGATTTTTAGATGGGGAAAGATTTGGTGTTATCAGTTTACTACAGCCTGAACAAATAGAATGCAGCATCTCCAAGATGCCTGTACTGCCAAGTGAGTTTAAGTGTGCTTAAAGATGTCATTCAGGTTGGGTCCTGCACTGTAGTTGTATTGTGAACAGTTGTGGTGGCAGCAGGAGCAGGAACATCTTTAAGAACTGATGTGGAAAGTTATTTCAGGCTGCACCCCTCAGGCAATCTCTGGTGGTATCACATTATCAAGCCGTGCTGCACAATGCTATCCAGTCACAAGTGTATGAAGTTTTACGTGGGACCTGATGCTGAAAAAGTCTTTGTATCTGGGTAACCCGTAGAACTTTGTTTTACAGTTCTTGCACAGTCAGAGCACTGAGATTCCTGATGAGGTGCAAGATCACCTCAAAGACGACTTCAAGAATTGACACCTCCCAGGGCCAATCTGCAATGCTGGAAATTATCATAGCTCATTTAAAGCAATGGAAATGGGGATGTGAAGTGTCCGTTTTGCTTGATTCCATATTAGGATTTTTTGTCTGCTGCTAATTTTCAAATATTAATGTGCTGAATGAGAGTGCACTGTAGAATGAGCATAACTACAAGTGACAAACAATTAGCAACACCTAGAGCAATCCATGTAAGTGAGTTTGTAAATGTTGGTCTTTAGGACTTTGCAAAAACTATACTGTTATTAAAATAATTAATGCCTGCATAATGATGAGGCTTAAACTAGGGACAAGTCATATGTAAATAGTTGCTCTTTATAATTATCCTATACCAGCACCTCCCCACCTCCCCCAACAGTTTCATGTTCTGATGCTTATAAATCCAACAGGCTTCTTTGGATTCACACCATACAAAAAGATTGTAGCTGGAGGAAAACTAAGGTTTTATCAAACAAACAATACAAGTCAGGAGGAAAATACTCCATTAAAGTGTAATCGTAAGGTTTGGAATGGCTCTTTACATGGTTGCGTGCAGCAGCCTTTTATTGCTAAGAATCTATAGGAAGGAACTGACAATGCCACTAAGATCATAATGGATGTATTTGGTAGCCGTGTTGGTCTGAGGCAAAAAGACATGCAAAAATAGGGGAGAAAAAACAAAGAAAGAAATGCAAAAATCTAGAATTCTAAGATCATAAGGCATAAGGGGAAAGGATAGCACTGACAGGAGAAAATAACATAATAAGCAGATCCTGAAGTCTTGGCAAAGAGGCATGTTCCAACTTTGAAAAGTTTGATTGCCTCTTAGAAGAAAATCCCACAGAGAAAAAAGGGAGTTTTAGCAATATTCCAGCATTGTAACAGATGACATCTGCCCACCACTTTGGGCTGGTGCTGCAAGGGAGAAAACTCTTAAGAGCCAGCCCCTAACTGTATCTGCTTTTCATCAACAGGGAGAGAAAGGAAAAGCTGGTGATCCTGGCCTGCCTGGGCTCCTCGGGCTAAAGGTTTGTCACAATCTCTGACCTTTTCTGTCACTTTTCATCCCAGTTTGTTTTCCCCCAGTATAGCATCAGGCAGCTTGCACCCATGTACAGACCAGCTGTAGGGTTTGCCTATGCTACTGGGTTGTTGCTACTTACTAGTGCAGTACTTTGGTATCTGTGCCTCCTGATGTGTACACAGGTCTATCAACAGAAGCAGATTGTCTGCTGCAAGAGCTACATCAGCTCCCCTGAAAAAACAAGCTTTGCAGGCAGAAGCCCTTCTTCTGTTGGGAGAGCAACACTGGCTATGAGGGCAGAGCTTTATAATATAAATAAGACTGTAGACTGCATTCACGTACACCCACACTTGCATACATGCATGTAAATGCACATACACAAAAACACTAGCATATAGTTACCATGTTTTCTCTACACTAGCTACATGAGAGAAGCAGGCTCTTCAGACAATAAAAACGTGATTCAATGGATGGTTCCCCTGAGGAAAGAAGGATAAATTCTTTGGGGACAAGATGCATATTCCTCACCCTACCTTAAAATACCTCCCTTTTCAGTAGATGCAAGCTAGCATTTTTCAAGGCCAGTTCAAGCAACAGCAAAATACTGTACAACTTATATTAACAGCATTATCTAAATGATTATTCATGTTTTAAAAATAACTCAGTACCTAGCATGATAACCCTATTGATTTTTTTAAAAAAAGAAAGAAACAAGACAAAACAATGTAATGTACCCAGAAAAAAAACATTGAGGATCAAATATATGCGGACTTAATGGGGTCAACTCTATCAAAGGCACCAGAGACATACCTGTTTTTATAACAATGATGAATCTGGTCTATACAGTAGGTAGGAAGAGCAATTTAGGGGACTTACAGGAAAATACATTCTTTCATCTTTAGGGCTTCGTTTTCAAAATCCAGCTCAGACTATTGGTAACTGAATATTTTTTATTGAATGCTGTATGTAAAATCAACTGGCGAATACAGATCTTAGTCTGTCACACACCTTCCCCAAAAATTCATCCACAACTGGCAGTGATTTTTCTTCTTTATGGAAGTTCAGCAAAGAGGCTATAGATTGAATATACTACTGTAAAGTAGAGGTGTGCGAAGCGGGTTCTATTTGATTTGGATTCGGCCCGAATCGGGGACAGTGATTTGATTTGTTGATTTGGATCACCATCCCTGATTCATTTTGGCCGAATCCGAATCTGGAGATTCAATGCTGATTTGGAAAATCAGCAAGTCAGACATAGACACAGCTTTAAATGTTTTTTCTACATACCTCGAGGTACCAGCGCAGCTCGTGAACACTGCAATGCTGGGGAGGATGGAGTGTCCCACAGGAGCATGGGGGTCCCCCCTGTGTGCTCGGTGGCGAACCTGGAAGGGGACCAGAAGTATTTCCAGGCCACTTCCAGGTCTGCCAGGGAGCGGGCCAGGGGGCCTCTTCATGACCCCCCAGCTTGGCGATCAGCCACAGGAGGACCTCAGGTGCCCCCCCCAGACCCAGGAGGTACCAGTCGCCAAGCCAGGGGGCATGAGGGGCCCCCCCAGTGCGCTCCCCGGTGGACCCAGAAGTGGACCAGAAGTGCTTCTGGTCCACTTCTGGGTCTGCTGCCGAGCACGCTGGGGAGTCCCCCGTGCTCCTGTGGGACACTCCATGTGCCCCAGCATCGCAGCATTCATGAGCCACCTGCTACCTAGAGGTATGTAGAAAAAACATTTAAAGCTGTGTCTATGACCTAATCGCCAATCTTTCTGAATTTCTCCAAATCAATTTGGAGGGTTCTGATTCAATTCAGAGAGATTAAAGAGTCCTTTGATTTGATTTGGATTCAGAGATTCAGCCACTGAATTGGGCCGAATCGCCGCTGAATTGAATCAGGGACCAAAGCTTCACACAGCCCTACTGTAAAGGTCATTGTAGAAAAGGATTCAGGCACAATGAGGAAACACCGTGAGCAAATGTACATTGGTACACCCCGTGGGCTGCAAAAGCAGAAAGGAATTCAGACTGCAAAGTCATCAAATGTGTTGCTGGAGAGGTAGGAAGTCAAAAGCAATAGGAGATGAAAGAAGCTAGATTGGGCCAGGCAGGGAGTTTATCCAGTGTGACTGGGTAAACAGAATAGCTGGATTTTGTGTGATGCTAGAAAGATTCCCCCCACTCCCCCAAGGGTCACATATATCACTTCCTGAAGTGGAGAATTTTTGAAGCACTCCTTGTTAAAGTACTGGCAGCACAGTACTGTCTGCAGTGCTTTGGCTGAACTTTGTACTCAGATCTAATAATGGAGTGCTGCAGCCCTAGGTGGAGATGTGTTAGCAACTGCATCTTTGGCTGCTTTGTTAGTTTTCACTCTAAACATTCGTGTTCATTAATAAATAACAAAATGAAATACACCTGCATTCCAGGATATCACCAGGCAGCCAGCTACTGGGGTTACTGCTCACACCTCACCCCCCCACCCCTTCTGAAAACAACCGGCAAGGCAGGTGAGGTTACAAAGAGGTGAACAAATTTAATTGACAGTGGGCTATTTTTCCTTGCCAACAGGGAGAGAAGGGAGATGCTGGTAATGTGCTCGGGGGAGGTAAAGGAGAACCTGGACTCCCAGGATTACCTGGGGCCCCAGGACTAAAGGTGTGTATATTGCCCCCAAAACACTCTATATTTCTCTGTTGTATGGGATATGTGCCTTGCATGGAGCACTGAGGAGGGGGTGAAGTTTGCGTTCATCTGTACCCAACTGGATTTAGGCCAAGATTTCATAAACTGGCCAGGCTCTACAGGGTTCTTTAGTTTGTTATTTTAAACATTGAAGGTCAGAAAATTTATTAACTGAATTTTTAGGGAAAAAACCCTACTTGTGTTTAAATTATTTTCCTACAGGGGCTATAAGTAAACAATCCCCCACAATCACCACCAGTTTTTGATGCCATATGTGCCAGATGAGACAGGGTGAACATTGTGTACCAGGACTCTGAGATCTTCAGAGACCCAAATCTTATCCATACTTTCCTTCCAAGAGAATTAGCAGCCCAGAAATCCTGCTTAATGGCAAAAGACAGTTCAAATATTTAGTTTCCTAAGACTGGCTCCATTCAGGATGTGTTAAGAGGTGTGTTAATGGGCTGAATTCTGATACCTTCACTCATGCTGAGTCACACCTTTATCTAGAAGTAGTGGAGAAATGGGAACTTACCCCAAATATTGAGACTGCCAAAAAAAATCTGAATGTTAAGATAGTAGAATTCTACCTACCTTAGTGGAATTCCACCAATTTTAATTGTTATCAGGCTTAATCATTTCACCATTGTTGAAATTGATCTTTTCTGCACATTTATGTTGATCTGTTCCTCCCCCCCACACAACTTTTTTTTTTAAGGGAGAAGCTGGTGACATTGGCCAGCCTGGACGGCAGGGAGAAAAGGTATGAAGGGAATGGGAACAAATGGGACTTTTGAGAAGGATTCCAAGACAGGGAGCTCAGTTAAAATGCAGCAGTTGGGAAAAATATTGTTTTGCAGTTGTTTCCCCCAATCAAATAACTGATGACTATAGCCAATCATGGAAAGAAACAGATATATTGTCCTATACACACTGCATTTTCTGAAAGCTCTCATGTGCAAAGCAAACAGAATATCATTAACCAACTGGCCTGTGAGCCCAAGTCCTGGATGCAACACTATTTCTAGGAAGCAGAAAGACATGCAGCACTGGGGGGCAGGTAGTGGGATTGGCTGGTGCACCAGCCCACTTTTAGCAGTTGCCACTGCATAAACTAACCAAATGGGGAGCATCCCAACATTTTGGTCACCCACACCAGGACAGAGAAGCCAAGGGACTGTGGAAAGGGACAGATAGAAAAAGCTCTGTGGAAAAAAAGGCCTGCAGCACAGGGGAAATGCTGATCTCAAAGGCTAGGGACAGATATTACACATAAACCCATTTAAGTGATCAGAAACTGGTTTAAACCTATAACATAACAAACATTCAGTGCACATAAGCCAGTTTGAAAATTGCTGAAACTGGTTTGAGATAAATCTGATTGAATGTAGTATCTGACTCAACTGATTTGGGTCAAACTGGTTTATGGAATGTCTGTCCCAGGCCTCTTCCTGGTTTAATTTAAATCAAAGTCCCCCAGCATCCCGGCACACTCTCTTGGCTGGGCAAGGATTTCTGCTCCAGAGAGCTGGGCTGGCCCCTCCTCTCTGCTCCCTGGCTGCAGCTCCAGCAGAGAATGCTGGTACTGCAGGGTCTGGCTGGCTTCCTCCTGCTCCCCCACTCCCCTTCACCACTCCCTGCTGAAGCAGGGATCCCCCCTTCCCTCTGCCTTACACAGACACCTCTCAGCATTAGCTAGCATACCACATGTTGGCTATGGTTCGTGCTGTGGGAGACAGGACAAAGGCAGGCAGGACTGTGTCGACTTAGGGCTTTGTGGAGCTAATCAACAGGTAGCTGGTAATGTCCCTCCATTCCTTTCTTGGAAAAGCTGTTTAAGAAGATCTTGAACTAATGGAGAGAGGCTGTTGTTTTCTTAAAGAGCTGATAAACACTGAGTTAGGGGGGATAAACACTGTGTAGGGCTCCCTGCTGGGCTGTGGGGTAGGGGGAGAAGGGGGCTCCCTAATCAGAGCGTCCTGCTGGGGACTGGCTATGCCCTGCCTCAGCTCAGCATTGTGTAAGGGAAGGGAGGACTGTTCTAGCGCTCCTTGGCTTCTAGCCTGAGCCACCACAGGCATATGCTTGCATTTTTTCAGTCCAAAGGGGATGTCTGTGTAGTTACAAACTGGTTTAGCCTAGCCAGGTTAAACTAACCAGCAAGGATTGAATCAACTCAGGCTTAGGCTTTTTGAATGTCTGTCCCTAGCCGAAAAAAAATGCATCAGGAACTGGGATTAAAGGGTCAAGAGGACAGGGAAGATCAAAATCATTTTAAGTCTTCTGGGTTCTCACTGGGCTAACCAACTCCTCAGAACAGTCTGTGAACATCATTCTAAGGTATAAAGAATGTTAAAAATATCTTGCTCTGTGGAAAGAGTTGCTTTGTCTACGCCAAAGTTATAATATTAGCTATATTTCCTACTGCATTGAGTCTTATCCAAAATGACAAGAAGCTTAATTTACTGCCTAATATGTTAATATATCATGTGTGATTGTGGATAATGGTTCCCTCATGGAACATGAGTTTTCTATTCTCATTTGAAAACCATGCAAGATTATCAGTTTACCAGATTATCAACTGCAAGATACTTGCATATAGCATTTCATATCCATATAGTGTGAGTGTGCATGTAATTGTATTGAGGAATGTATATTGAAAAGAAATAATATAAAGGGCCGAATATGCAATAGAGTATAAGGGGAATTATTCTGGTTTGGTGTCCTCCCTACATTTTCATGGACATTGTTTTGATATAAATCAAGGTGCTAATTATTTTCCATCTTTGAAGGTAATGTCTAAGAGTAGGAAATGGAGCATGTAGGAGGATCAGTCATTTAGTGTTATTCGTCATTGGAAAAACACCATATGGCTTCTTTACATCCAGCTCTCTGACCTGAAAGTATCAGTTTTGTCTAGCAAAATGTTTTGCTGTAAAAAAGAATCTCAGGCACTGCAAATGGGATTGATATGTAGTGATGTGTTGGACAGGAAAACCATGCTATTATTTTCACCAATATCATTGAAAAATGAGACATGAGAAAGGGAATCATGATATCTGAAAACTTGTTGTTGTCTATCCCAACCATGCAGTTGGTCTAATAAAGATATAACCCATGAAAATTCATGCCATTGAAAAATGAGAGCATTTCTTCCTGTTAAAATCACTTCACTCAATGTGCATTTAGCATTCTATGTCAAGTGTCCCAACATCTAAATCTGACCAATGCCATGGGAATAATTAATTTTTCAGTTTTGGCAGCTGACCCGGAAAAATCATTAAAACATGTCATTTGGGGTCACTTTTGAAACAAAATTTTGTTCTTATTCTTCAGCAAACTAAAAAGAGATCATGTCAGGATGTTGCATTTAACCTGAAACTAGTTATATGTTTAGCTCATTCCAAAATGAGCCATTTTGTTTATGGGCTAATTGTTAATAGATGCAAAGGGGTAGTTTCCCAAGGAGAGAGTAAGGAATTATAATTCCATCTGTGGGATGTGAACCTGAGGAGACACAATATGCTCAACCCCTTTTTCAGTTTTAGAACACAGACTAGCCCTATGGCACCTCACAAAGACAGCAGAAAACTCCAGACACCAAGAGCCTCAGAAGTTTAGGTTTCTAAAATAAGGTGCATTGACATGCAGTGCCCTTTTTGTTACAGGGAGAACCCGGTGCACCTGGAGATCATGGACCTGTTGGTCCAAGGGTAGGTGCCATTTACCCAGCTAATCTGGGTCTTCCCTTATGAAAAAAATGAGAAATGTTAGAAAGAGCAAATGACAATATGTCTCATCCTAATGGGTACTTAAGCAGTTGGTATATCTATGCTACACCACAGTGCACTTTGTGTTTCTTTTGTCTCCCAAAATCCCTTTACCATAATTAAATTTGTTTATAGTTAGTTTGCATTGCCATAATGGGGGAAAGCAACTGGAGCCTACTTGTAAGTCTCACATATACTACCTAGTTTTGGGCATCAACAGCTGAATGTATACGCTCTGTACAGGTGCTTGGCCAGCATCTGTCCAAATGTGAAAACTGCCACAGGTCAAGTTCCTGGATTCTGTTCCACAGCTTAGTTATTCAGCAGAGCAACTGAGGTAGCAGCAACGCTGATCCTCTTTGTACTACATACTGATGTTGGATAGCCACAAAAATATCCCCATAGATATATCTATTGATCATTCTTTAAACTTAAAATTTAAAAAATAATGGCAGTGAAATTGCTTCCCTAAGCACCCCCCTGCCTTCACATCATGGTGAACATCCGTATTTCAGCTCAGAGAAGATTATGGGGGAACTACATCCTTGGGCAACTCCGCTCTGTATTGGCTAGATGAGCCCTGACTGGAGTTCTGATTCATTTTATAGGGTCCCAAAGGAGAACCAGGAAAGGATGAAATGGTGGATTATGATGGTAACATCAATGATGCTCTACAGGTGAGGAACTGCTACATGTATCTTGGGAACCGTGTTCAGTGACTTCTGGAGTAAGCTGTTCATTATTTTTTGAGGGACCTTTTCTTAGACACCCGAGCTCTTTCTAGCTCATTTTGCTCTCAGGCAACTGAGAGCTCTTCAGCAAAGTTGCAGGCTAGTACCCTAAGTGATGGAGTTCTGGGAGATGGTTGGACCAAGGAAGAAATGCACCCTTGTGCCCCAGCCAGCCACTCCAGCATCTACATATGCACTGCTATGGAGTTTTTTACTCCACAGCAAGATAGTATTTGTATTTACTAGTACTATCCTGCTGCAGAGTACATTAGTTTACTCCAGCCTAACAGGGATGCACGTGTAGGCGCCAAGATGTTTACTGCAATGCTAATTAGTCAACTGTGCAGTAAATGTCTAAAGTAGATGCATCAAGTATGGACAAAATTAAACATGTCAGTTTGGTCCTTCCTAGTTCTTCTTCCATAATAAGAGTAATGAATATTATTCAGTATACATGATTCTTTTATGCCATTATTGATAAAAGAAAACAAATAAAAATAACTTTCAAGTTGTAATTTTATTTCTGTTTTACCCCTTCCTTCATAATTTTTAGGAAATACGAACTTTGGCCCTGATGGTGAGTCTGTATTCTTGACTGTGTATTTTGTTTTTGGACAAGCAACTGGAATTTAGTCTTAAGCAAAGTGGACAAAGTCAGACAAACTGACACAAACTTTTTCAGTCATGGCCTGAGACATAGCAATGCTGACAGCCAAAAGGACATGTTTTGTGTTATATTCTTGTACTAATATTTCCCCTGCTTTGTAAATGCAGCACTGGGCTCTTAAGGCACTCAGCAAGGTTGGCCCTAAATGAGGAGAACCCAGTGGAAGTCAAGAGGGGCCCAAGCTGTGCTATTTTCAAGGCCCATTGAAAACTTCATCTCTTTAAGCAGGCTTTTCCCCAATAACAGGAATATATAATTGTTTGGCACTTACTTTTGGAAGATAACTAACATATTCCTCTGGAGAGGTGAGGAATTAGGGCCGTCATAAACCATTTGTAACTGTGATATCTAATTTTGCATGCAACACCCAGATACTATGTAAATGTGCACATTAGGAGCCATATGCCAGCTACATTTTTTTTAAGTAACCTCTTATTTTGGGTGCTCCAGGTGTCAAGTGCCCTGCTTTGTAGTAACAAATGTGTTAAATTAGGCACACAAAAACTGAGGCATCCAGAATCTTTGTCCACTTCTGAAAATATGAGTTTTTGAAGAGTTTTTGAAGCCATTTGAACACATGCTGAATTTGGTATAAAAGTTACTGTTAGTTAATTAAACTCAACCTCCACTAAGGAACTTAGCAAGCTAATGTTTTCCTATTATCCACATTTTCTATCTGGGTACCATTTTTCTGTTAATAGAAAAAACTCTTGTTATAAGCTGTAAATAGAGATTTAAATTCACTATGTTTTCGAAGCAGCTAAAAAGAACCGTTGTTTTCATGGCAATGTTTTTCTTTGTTAAAGAAATACTATATAGCTACAATTTACTTTGAATTATCATTGCTGGTTATTCAGTAGCCTCTGGCTTACTCATTAGTCCCACTGGATATGTTTAAAGGAAACACAGCTCTTCTTTTCCACTATTTGAAGAGCTGTTTGGGTTTAAAAGAAAAAAAACAACTTTGACTTATTCTGAAATGAGCTTTCTCTTGCTTAGGGACCTCCTGGACTTCCAGGAGCAGCTGGACCCCCAGGGTCACCAGGACAAAAGGTACTATCTGTCCCCTTGTGACGTGTGAATAGAGATCTAGAAAAGCATGAGAATCAAAAGATTAGAATAGTGTTGCAGCTGCTGTATTCTATGTCTGCCTCTAACACACATTCTACACCCTACATTCCCTCAAGTCATTTCATTCTCCTCCCTATATCTCATGTCCTGAAATCCTGTGCTCCAACTATACGAAGGCACAGATGTGATTGAAGAAAGACTATAATTCTTTCTACTCCCATTTTCCTTCAACTGACTGCGTACTGTAGCTAACCTTAGTACCTGGATTATGTTGTGTTTATAACGTAGTTCAGACCTTAATCTGCCGGTCGCCATGAAAAACTATGCAATGATGAAGTTTTTATTAACCCCTATAATGCTTATGTGGTTGAGTCCTGTTATCTTAAGCTTCTGACCCCTCTGTTTTTGTAACTATTGGCAATGAGAGCCTGGCTGCTCCCTGAGGTATCAGTGTTGATTATTTATGACACCCAGCCCTGTTCTCTGATTTCTAAGCCCAAAGTAAAAATAGGCAAAACAGTACTTTTAAAAAAGTGTTTTGTGGCGTTTTTTTTAATTTAGGGTGAAATTGGCTTGCCAGGGCCTCCTGGGCATGATGGAGAAAAGGTAAGATGAGTATTTCCTTATGTATGTATTTATTAAAACTTTATTCTGTTGCAGGCTTTGGCATTGTGAGGGATAACTGGTAATAGTTTGAGTTGTTTGAAACATGGAAAAATGGTCCACTTTTCCATTAAAATTCTGAATTTAAACAAAAATGCTCAATAACATTTTGAAAGGTTTTAACCAACGTGGTAGATATGCTGGAACAAGATTAATTCTAGTGGAAAGTGTTGCAAAAATCTCTTTCAAGTTTTATCTTGGAGATAAGGGGACATGCACAATTGAACTGTGGAATTTCTTTACCAGCTCTCATAACAATAATTTATTAAAAATCAGAAATGCATGGCTAAGAATTATTTAGCCACACACTGATCCACATGTATATCTTTTTGCGGGTGAAAAATATAGGGCCTGATTCACCTCAAACATGCCTGATGAAAGAGCCCCCTAATGGGGTGATTAATAGAGCCGTGTGAAGCTTTGGGTGCTGATTCAATTCAGAGGAGATTTGGCCCAATCCGGTGGCCAAATCTCCGAATCCATATTGAATCAGGGGACCAATTAAAAGGTCCGAATCAATTCAAAGCTCTCCAAATTGATTCGGAAAACATTCAGAGAGCTTCTGAATGTCCCCGACTGCTGCAGCAGGGAGCTGGACCCAGACTCTGAGCTGGTAAGTAGGGGGCAGGGGAGGGGGGGAGGGGACCATGGGAGGGGAGGACCCCCACCAGGCGCCATCCCCTGCCTGGTCCCTGAGCCCCTCTGAGCCCCCAACCCCCACCCACTCTCCCAGCCCCTCCACCGCTATGGCTGCCTGACCCACCCCAGCTCCTGGCCCTATAAGAAAAGAAAACTAAAAAAAAACCCGAACTCACCCTCTGGGGCTTGAGGGGAGGGTGTTTCTTAAAGGGCCAGAAGCTGGGGTGGGCGAGGCAGCCATGGGGGGGGAGGGGTTGGAAGAGTGCATGGGGGTCAGGGGACCCATGGCAGATCCCCCCATGCAGCATGGGGCAGTCGGGGGTAACAGAGATCGCTCCCTTCTGGGCAGCATCTGGTGAGTGGGTTTTGTTTTTTTTTCAAAGAGCCGGGAGCTGGGGCAGGCAAGGCAGGCATTGCTGGGGCTGGCAGAGTGGGCAGGGGATGGGGCCTATCCGATTCAGAGGATTCGGCAGCAGCCAAATCTCTGAATCAGATTCGGCCAAATCAATTCAGGACAGTGATTTGAATCGCCAAATCGAATCACGGTCCACCAAATCAAGCCAATCCGAATCTGAAGTGAATGCTAGCCACTTCGTACAGGCCTAGTGGTCTGACTCTTGACTCATATTTAGTTTATGTGAATGCAGAGCACACCATTGGGGTTGCTAGCTGCTGAACATTCTGGCTCTGGAAAGATTTAAGCAGCAACATAGATAACCTTAATTCAGCACAGTGCTTAAACATATGAAGCTGTTCAAATCCTTAGAGGGGGATACATACTAAATGCTTTACTGAACTGTAGTGTTAGGACTTAATCCCAAATCCTTTGGTGTTAATAGTAAGCTTTATATTGATTTTCATGGGCGATGGGCTAGAGTAATGGTTCTCAACCTTTTTTGTACCAGGACTCATTTGTAAACACCAATGGCCAGTCCCAACTCAGTGCCCCTCACTCCTGACCCACTGCCCCCCACCCCCAGGCCTCAGCCCCCTAGTGTGTGGGGCTGGGGGGAATGCATGGGGCATGGGGGTCCCCAAGCAGCCCCTTGCAGGTCACGACCCATGAGTTGAGAAATGCTGGACTAGAGCTTTACAGGATTGAGTCCAGAGTGCTCAGCAGTTAGCAGGATTGAGCCTGAAATTAATAGTTATAAAAATAGCTCTCATTTCTTAGCTTCCCTTATACATAGACTCTGCCTCTGCCCTTTTACTTGATGTTCAAACCTTCTTCTACATGGCTGTGCAGACAAACTACATAGAGTAAGGCTCTGTGATGCGGTTTCTTCATACTGTTCCTGTGGCCTGCATATGTCAGCCTTATGTAGCAAAACTGCAGCAGTTTCAGTGTTTTCAAGCCACTTTCCAAAGATGTTTAGGTAGAAAAGATGAATTTTCCATGACAGGACCTAACCTTAGAGGCCAGCCATGGTACACCCTAGCAGCCCCACTTGTCCTGCTTTGTTCTCTGCCCCCTCCCCCACCTCTCAACTTCCTGCCTCTCTCCTGCCACACCTTGTATTAAGGTAATGGGGGAGGCTTTCTCCCAAGGCCTGATGAGTTTCTTCAGGGCTTTTTCTCTTAGCTCAGTCCTTGTGCCTTCCTAGTTGCTAAACTCCATTCCTAGGACTTCTCTGCCCCACACCCAGTCCTTTGGGCATGTCCCTAGTCCTGCTTCCCTATGCATCCCCTTTCAGATAGTCCTCAGAGCTTTTTTACTTTCTCAAGCAGGCAGGGTCATATAGACCCTAAACATTGATCCCTGGCCTTAGTTTTGCCTCAGGCACTATAATAATAGCCTTCAGCCACACTTATTACTCTGATTTCATTTATGGGGCCTCTTGGCCCTTTCTTTAAAGCAGCTTACCCCAGCTTTAGGCCCCTGATCTTTGTAGGGCTGCTCTTTTTATCTTCTGTCCCTTGCAGGGCTCAAAGTAGGTACCTCCCAGAGATCCCTGTGGGCTCCAAACTATCCCCATAGCCACAACCCAAGCCTCCAGTCAACCAAAACCCAAATGCATACCACAAAACTGCTTATTCTTCTGAAGCTCTCCACAGAGCTTCCTCCTCTTCTGAGGATTTGGGCTGATCTGGGAAAATCTGAACCTCAGGCTCATGTTTATATGGCCCCTTGCTCCTTCCTTTTTTGCTCATCTGACCCAGCTCTCTGTTAACAGGGCCCAGTTTAATCAGCAGCCTAGCCTTCTGCTAGCATTCTGGATCCTGCAGCCCATTCAGCTATGCTATTTGTACCTGTGCAACCTGGGTACACCCAAGTGTGTTCCCTATTCTCAATAGGATGGGATAGGTAAGCAGAAGGGTGTGCTGTGAGAGGGATGCCAGAATTTTGAGCGAATCCCTTTTTCCTCTATAGAGGTAGCCCAAGCCCAAAGTTCTTAACTATATATAATTTACTGAGTTATAATATACATAAACATAAAACTAAATATCATATACATATATTTACACAGTGAACATTAACCAATAACCAAGGTCAAACCCTAAATAACGCTATTTACAATATCACAATACAACATTTCAATTACAAAATATAAGGTGCAAACATGAACAATCTTAATAACAGCTATTCCTTAATATAGTCCCTGACCCATGGCAAGAGATAGTCCTCCTTCCAATGGGGTCCCTTGGGGGAGTGTCCAGGAAGCACCAGGGGCCCCTCCCCTTAGGGCCTTGATTAGGCAGGGGGGTGGGCAGGGCTGCTCACCCAGCCCATTCTCTGGGTTTGCCTGCCTCAAACATCTTTCCCCTGTGGGACCCAAGGGCCCACTGACTCACACTCCCGCAGGGGGGCGTGCAGCTTGATGGGGTCTCCTCTGCTGGAGCGCCTCTCCAGGCTTCTCCCACACCACTGGGTTCCTCCCTACCCTGTACCCTGCTCTAGGTACCGAGGGCTCAGCTCCTCTCAACTGGTGCACCACTGCTGCTGGCTTCTGGGTGCTGGGCCTCACGCTGCAGCACTACTATTTGCCTGTGCCCTGGCTCAGCACTGAGGGCTTTTTTAACACAGGCTGGGCCCTTCAGGCTCTGGCCAGATGTCCTCACGCAGTAGCTAACCCAAGCAGCATCCACTGCTCCCTGGCTCCCAAGGCTTGGGCCCATGCACCACTCTGCACACCAGGGGACCTGGCTGCTTGCCAGGAGATGGAGCCTGAGCCGTCTCACTGCAGCCCCAACACCCTTACCCTGTGCGCTTCCCTGTGCACCGTGTGGCCCCCTGGCCCTGCCAGGGTTGCAGGCTCGAGCCACTGCTTGCGGCTCCCAAAGCCTGGGCTCCATGCACTGAACCGCGCACCATGATGGGCCTGCTCCCAGGGCCAGGTCTCCCTGCACCATCCCCATGCGCCATCAACAGCCCGAGCACTCTCGCACTGCTCCCAAGGCTGCTCCTCCAGTGGTGGCTTCAGGAGCCTTGGGCCTATAGCCCGCTGAAGGAGAGCTCCCCAACTCTTCTTGGCTCCATTCTTCTTGAGTCCCTCACAGGCATCTGCCCAGCCTGCTGAGCACACTGGGCTTTTATTTACACGGGAGGCCCTGCCCCTGAAGTCTGCCGGACCTGCAAAGCACAGTCTTCAGTCAGGTCTAGGGGCTCCTCTCATCCCCACCTCCCCCTGAGTAGGGGCGGGGTAAGCCTCTCCCAGCTGTTACCTGATTGGTGGAAATGTTCCACCAATCCGAAGCGTCCTTCTCCAAGCTGGGCTTGCCAGGCAAAAGCAGCGAGCCCGCCACACCTGCCAGGCTTTTTGCAGGCTACACTGGCACTGTTCTCCCTATCCAGCCCTGTGCTCTACTTTCCAGTAGCAGAGGTAGGGGGTTCCCTGTCACACCTGCCTTTTCATGAAACAGTCATACATATCTTTTACATAAAGCAATTGCACTAATGTTTTTCCCATTATTCAAAGGTTACTTGCAGTTGTAAAAATCATTTTTACTCTGCAAAAAAGAAAGTTGATATGAAAGTATCAGTAAACTCCATCACTTGTTTCAAGCAACCTACAACAAATGTTACAATTGAGAAATAGGGATTGATTCTTGTTTTCAATAAGTCCTTGACTTTTTATCTCTCTGTACAATACATTAACTACACATTCCCCTTCACATTGCTGGAATAATGACAGTTAGGCCCATTGACTCCTTGCCCTAATCTTTTTTATTTCTTTCCCAAGTTGTAAACGACTTCAGAGATATCTTGATTAAGGTTTTGTCTTATGGCTCCGGTTCAAGTGCCACCCTGGGCTTGTTTCAAAAGGGCTTTCCCAGTCAACCCAAATGTAAATGGGGGGCCTTAATCATGCTAACACATTGGACTGATAGGGTTGGGAGGCCCTTTGACCTAACTGTATACAGTACTATTTTTAATGGTGTGGGTACTTTTTAGGGCCCACGAGGTAAACCAGGAGAAATGGGGCCTCTTGGTCCCCAAGGGCCCTCAGGAAAGGATGGACCTCCAGGAGTAAAGGGAGAACCTGGACTTATGGGGACTCCAGGACTGAAAGGAGACAAAGGGGAGGCAGGACAAGCTGGCTCACCGGTGAGTAAGTACTAAGCACCTTAGAGCAGTGAATTGTCTTTGCTGAGGTTCACAGCAGAAATGGGCACAATGTCTAGATATGAACCCCCTTGAACACTGAAAATCTCAGACGCAAAATTTAGGGACAGGGTCAACTGTAGCATACAGTGTAGAAGTGTTGAGACTCCCAGCCGTTAGCAGAGTGTCACATCTTAATAGGTTCTCCAAATTAAATGATAATCAATTAATTATGCTTTATAGAACATGTTTTCCATGAGATTCCACATATATCCACCATCTTATGGTTAATTATTAGGATGGGATTATGGCACCAATCCAGCAAAACACTTCAGAGTAAGCATCATATTAAGCATGGGAATAATACCCAGAGTTGCAGAAATAAAACATTTAAAAATGGCTAGTAAGGTCTTCAGGAAGTAAAGCACATGTATATCCTTATCTGCACTAGTAACCAAGGGGTTTCCATTGGGGTGAAGCAACAAGTTTCATGGGTCACCTGGGTAAAGATTACCCCCAAAGTTCATGGAACAAAAAGAGCTTTTCACCTTTTGGTTCAATGTTGTCACTCTCTCATTTGCATGATTAAATACTGCAAGAAACAAAAGTATTTCCTGCTCTGTAGGGTCTCGATGGCCCAACCGGGGAGAAAGGAGAACAAGGTGACCAAGGGATACCAGGATCTTCTGGATTACCGGGTCCAATTGGACTTCCAGGACTTACAGTAAGAGTACAAAGAAACATGGACTTTTTAAGATGGGTTAAACAGAGGATACAGAAAGTGCAAAATACTGAGGCTAACGTTTTCAAAAGCACCTCAGTGACTGAGAAACCTGAGACTCCCATGTCCTTATGTCACTTTTGAAAATTGGTTTAAATCTCATTGAAATCTAATGGGATTTGGACTCCTATATCCTGTTTGTCTACATTGATGACTCCAGTGTGGTATAGGATAGCTAATGATCTAGCTCAGACACTAGTTGTAATCCAGCCACAGCAGCATGCAGTTCGCTGCAGGTCAGTTTACTCTGCTTCTCACACTGAGCTCCATGCCTGGCTCTCTACACAATACTGCTTGCTGCAGAGGAGACATACCCCAGACACCTTTGAAAATTGTACCCTGCAAGCCACTGTGAGAACAATAGATAGTAGCCTAACTGTCCACACCCCACACTAGTTTTTAAGGTAATCACCACCAAAAAAAAATCCATTGTGTGGCAATACTTTCAGGCACCTGAAACTTCCCACTACTTTATACTGGAACAGAAGGGATGTATGTGAACTATATGAATAAATGCTAAGTCTTCTTTCCACTTTTGAGTGATTTCTTCTTCTAACCTTGTGATTATATCATACATTACTAGTGATGAAGCTAGACCTCTCACTGGTGCTACTGTATGCATTGGTTCTATTGTTGTGTTTTTCAGGGAGAGAAGGGAGAACCTGGAGAACGTGGAGAAAAAGGAAACCCAGGGGAGTCAGTAAGTATCGTTTTTTTCCTGGAGGATCAGAAGGGGCAAAATTGAATCTTGGCACCAGTGCTTCTTGGAACTCTGTTCATCCCACACAAACCACATTTTCACCAACACAATAGCATCTCCATGGCCTTCATGAGCCACCCAACTTCCTGCTTTTCTGCTGATCATAGCTTGTGCTTTTGCTGCAGCATTTATTATGGCAATGACTATTTTACTTTACTTTGTTATGGCAATGACTATTTTACTTTTTATTTTTAGGTATCTGGGCCACCTGGGCCCCAAGGTCCACCTGGTGCTTCAGTAAGTTTTGATTTTTTTATTTTGGGGGGATGCAGCATGAGGAAGGAGTTGAACAATGATGGGGAAGTGGCTGTACAGATTTTACCAAGGACTATGTCTCTTGCATAAAATGTGGCATGGAAAAATGTGTGTAAGGGTTTGAGAAGGAAAGGCACAGGATGTGCTGAAGCTTGGAAACACCGAGGCTATGCCCAGGTGAGCATGGCTGTGCGGAACATACTGAGCAGGCTGAACATACTGCACATTCAGCTATTCTTCATACTGCAAGGGAGCAGCGCAGGGATTTTTTTGACACCTGGATATCCAGGGGTTAAAAAAACGCATGCAAAAAAAAACTGGAGTGGCGCACACAGGGGCATCACATGCCATTCAAATCTGGAGCTTGGCTGGCCAGAGCTAAGCTCTGGCTTCCGGTCAGGCTCTGAGTGGCAGGATCGTCACTGCTGCAGCCCCAGGAGGACCCCAGCACCCCAGGTAAGACTGCTGCAGCCTCCCCTACCCAACCTGGGGTAACCTACCACACTCTAAAGGGCACATGGCACAGGCATTCCCTGGGTACAACTAGTGGTGGCACAAGGTGTGCCCATGCAAGTTGTCCCCGAGGAACCAAACGTTCATACTCGTGGACGCAGCCTGAGAGAATGAAGCAGGCAACTGATACAACTGATACTAAATCCCGCAAACAGAGTAAATCTATTGTGCAATGAGTGTTAAGGGTAAAGAAAGGAAACATGCCTAAGGCACAGGCAAAGAGAAAGGGGTTAGAGGAAAGGGAATGATGTGATCAGAGGATGAACCAGGGAGATGGTCTAGGTAGCAGACAGCCGCTGTCAGGCTGTGCCTAGATAGACTCTCTGCATTACCAAACTGGAGCAGTATGCGAAGTGCATCTTAATACAGACAGAGAGATATTCTGAGGCAATGTTTATTTAATGTATGTTAGTTCAGCATGTCAGAAACAGAAGTTAACACACTGCATGTGGAACCAGGATACTGGGATTTAAAACTAGCTTAGTAAAATACCATTTTTCTTATTTCTTATCTCAAATGTAGGGTCCTCAAGGCCTTCCAGGACCGAAGGTAAGGCTGTAAAACATTCAGTATTGACATTTTGACTCAAGGTAGCCAGAGAAGATAAATTCTGTTTAGTAACAACTTTATAGTTTTCATAATTTGTTTTTGAACTGGAGGTAAAACGTATTCAGTGTGTTTGCAAAATAGAGCTATGTCAGTTTGGGATAAAAAAATCGGGTCTCTGATTTCTATCTCTCTGCCTCCCTTTCTCTGTCTGTCAGAAAACTTGAGGGCCCACTCTGGACCTCAGAAGTATTATCAAAATTGGTAATTCTCTGTGAAATATAAACACATAGGGCACAAAACTGGAAAGGACTTCCTGAGTCAAACCAGTCTTCTGCTATTTCAAAAAACATGTTACATAATCCTTTTCATAAACTTCTTAAGGTCCATCTTAAAACTAATCAGGATTTTTGCTTCCACATCCCCTACTAGAAGTCTGTTCCAGAGTGTTTCGTCTGATGATTAGAAACCTTTTTCTAATTTCCAGCCTAAAGTTATTCATGCCAGTGAATTCCCAGTTATTCAGCTTCAACAAAACATTGTATTTTGACAATAAAACATTACCACCAGATCAACATGTTGCTTTTCATCCAATTATGTGGTTTCAAAACCTCTCTTTTAAGGTTGGAAAATTTACAGGCTTGATACGTAGCTATGCAAATCTACGCATGCAATATATTTATAGTACTAATTTGAATGATGCCATTAAAGGAACCAACACTTTGAGGACAGATGTTAACACACAGCACTCCAGATGGCTTTCAAGATGTTAAAAAGATGTTAAAAACAGAATAAATATATCCATCTTATATCCCCAGGTTTTGGGTATAATATAAATATATAACTATCAGTTTTCAATAACTTGCTAAACACCACTATCACTTGTATGAAAAATCTATGCATCCTGCAGTCCTCATGATCTGCACTGCCATGTATCAGAAAGACCCAGAGGGCGCATTCACACATGAAAACATGTGCGCTTGCAGCAGCTCAAATAGAAGTGGTGCAAATTTGAGCCAGGGCTTTTTGCCTCAGCGCACATGCCCGGACATGTTGTGCACTTTGTTGTGGAGCAAATTGTGCCACTTGGGGCAAAATAACCCTGCCTGGCTCCTCATGGATCTGCAGCCATGTCCTCCAGCCCACAGGAGTTTGTCATGGGGCCGGCACCTCGCCCGGCCTCATGGCGCTCCGCGCTCCACCACCTAAGCTGGCTGGAGGACACCAGACCAGTCTGCTTTTCCACCATCCATCGCCACCACCTCTACATGCTCATGTGCCTCATGATCCATCCTGCCACCCTTGTGTTCTGCCCAGATACCAAGTGGCAGGACCTGCTCAGCGAGGGCATGGCCTGGGCACCCCAGTGGATGAGTCTATAATCCACCCTCATCCCACGAGCCACTGGGGACCTCAGCTGGTGGCCCCTCCATGGAGCCATGGCCATGGGTGTGTATGTGGCATGCTTCACGGACACCCTGGTCTCCTGCCCCTTCTGCAGGGAGAGGGAGACCCTGCTACACATGACCCTCAAGTGTGCCAGGCTGGAGCCCCTCCACCTCCACCTCCAAAACCTCCTCCTAAGGTTCTGGTTGAATTTCACTCCCCACCTTTTTGTTTTTGGTCACCTCATCTGCAGTCCCACCAAGTCCTGGGACCTCCTGGTCAACCTCCTCCTGGCCCTGGCCAAGTGGGCCCTGTACTTGACTAGGAAGGAGGCTCTGGCCAGGAGGTGCCCAGAGACTGCAGGGCCGCTTTCCTCTCATTTGTTCATGCACATTTCTGGGCAGAGCACCAGTGGGCAGCATCCACCGGCTCCTTGGATAGGTATTGAGGACTGGTGGGTGCAGCCCGGGGGGGGTTCTGCTAGGTGTCTCCCTCAGGCATACTCATTTTCATGTTTTGACCCTTTGACCCTCACATCAATTCTGTCCTGTTTTTTGCCTTTGTACCAGGAATTCTGTTGTATCTTTCACACACTGGCCCCACACAGTAGTTAGCCAGGTGGGCCTTAGGGTCCACGGTATTTGAAGGATACAAATAGACAGAAGCTTCTGGGGGAGGAGCCTCTGGGAGGAAGTTGGCCACACCCTTTCCTACCCCAGGCTGCTGCTGTTGCTCTTGCTGTTCCTGTTGCTGCTACTGCAAGCTCGGTTTCAGGAGCTTCTGGGGAGAAGATGGCCAGGCCCCTTCCTGTTTCTGGCTACTGCTAGCTTGTTCTTAGAGCTTTTGGGCGTAAGCAGGCTGCACCCTGCTTTGGGCTGCTGCTGCTGTTGCTGCCCCCGCATGGGGGGTCCTCTGCTGCATGCCACTGCCCCACCTCAGGGAGGTGCCCACCACACTGCACCATATCCCAGCACCACACACCAGCTTCTGCACCCCTGTTCCAGCCTGCTGCCCAGCCCACCACCAAGCTGCGGTTGGGGGACAGCCTGGAGACGGAGCCTGCACTGCCTGTGGGCCCCTCCCCCAACCGCACTGCTGGAGCCTAAAGGTGCCTTGCCTGCCCCATCTGCCTTGGCAGGCCAACCCCAACCTTCACCTCCACTTTCACCTGAAGCACACCCTGAGTGGCTGAACTGGATAGCTACTACCACTGTTGCTGCTGTTGCTGTTACTGCTGCTGTCTGTTCTACTCCTGTCCTCTCTCAGAAGAGAGGGAGATTCTACTCCCTCACCACACCTGCACCACCCAACACCACACCTGCCATGAATTACTCTCTAATTGACTGATTGCTTCTGCACTCCCTTACAGCTACGTCACTGCATCTGATCCTGCTTTGTTTTCCTACCTATTGCTTTGCTGCTGAGTGCCTGGCTGGAGGCTTGAGGGGCTCCTAGACTGATCTTCAACAAACAAAACCCCTCCCCTGCTCCAGCCATCTCTTACATCTGCCTCAGCAGCCTTCCCTTTGTGTTTTTGCCCTTGTGTGGTAAGTCCTCTGGTCCACTTCCCCTGGGCTGGTGTTCATTGTGTGGCTGAGTAAGCCAGCTTGAGTGTCCTCCACCCTTGTGTGTGTGTTTCCCCCTCCCCCACATTCCCCAAGCATAGCCCTCCTGATTTTTTTCCTGTGGGGCTGTAGCTCATCGAGTTTAAGCCACCCCCACCCCCACCCCATTTCCCCCACAACCCCAGCCTATTAGATTCACCAGCCCCATTGTATATTTTAGTTTTCTTTATTGTTTTCTCCTCCCTCATGTGAAGCAATGGCAGGGCAGGAGCCTGCTGGGGGGGCAAGTGCCCACACAGAGCTTTCTGCAGTCCCCACTATGGGGGCAGATCCCAGCCATGCCCCTAAGGGGATGCATGCCCCTGCAGCATGCACCCTGGAGGCAGAGTCTAACCAAACTTCTCCAGGGATAGAGAAGCCTGCAACCTCTGCTGCAGGGGCAGGCAGAACTCTGGCAGAGAGCCAAAAGGGCCAGGGGGTCTCCCCTGGCCAGGCCCCTCCCCCAGACAGGTTCCCAACCCCCCTCCCCCACCATCAGGAACCAAGGGAAAGGGCAGTGGGAAGGGCTCCTCTTCAGCCAAGTCCATAGCTGGGGGTGGGAAGGGTAACGGCCCCACCCCAAGCCTAGACCACTGGTGCCTGAGGGTACCAGGTGCGCTACACCAGCCAGTACACCCACTTAAACTGTCCCTGGCCCTACCCTGGCCCCACCAATGTGACCCCCCCCAGCAGAGGAACTGCATCTATGCACAAGTGGCAAGGGGGTCTTTTTCCTTGCCTTGGAGGCTGCTGCACAAAAGGCGGTGGAGAGGGGACTTGTGGTGGAGAACAAGTACATACCCTTCAAGCCCCTAGAAGAGCTGGGCACCAGGGTGGTCCTCAACTCTGTCCCTCCTTGTATCCCTAATTGGCCCCTGCTCCCCCAGCTCCAAACCCTGGGAGAGTTATCCCCAGCTGGCAGCAGGAACATGGCTGGAGGCTGAGGGGTGCTTTGTGATTCCTTTTCAGGGGGCCCTGGTGAGGGTTTTCTATACACTGGGAGACCTGTGCTGCTTCCGGTGCTGCGTCCCAGGGCACTTGCGTCATGAGTGCCCCATGGGCCAGGAGGAGAGGGCATCCTCAGATCCCACTGGCAAGAGGGATGCCCCTGCCATTAGTACCATTTCCCCTTCAGGCCCCCCTGGCACTTCATCCAGCCCCTCTGTGAGCTCAGGGGACCTCACCCACAAACCAAGTTTGGCGGAGTACTGGGGAAGGCAGCAGTAGCCAAGGGGAAAAAGGAAGTAGGGCCCCCCTGCCCCTAGTCATGTTCTTGCTGTAGCTGCCCCACCCATCCAACCCTCACCTTGTCCTACTGGAGCCTGTCCACCTGAGGACCACCCCATGGCTGAGTGGGTGCAGGTCCCCTCATGGTGCAAAGCCAAAAGGAAGGTCCAGGCATAGTTGGAGCCCTCTGACGTGGAAGATTCCTCCCCCCTCCCCCCACCAAGACCACCACATGGGGTGAAGGAACAGCCCAGCTCCCATGGGCCTCCCTGGCTGTGCCTGACACCCCACCCCTGGAAAGATCAAATGGGTGATCCCCATGGAAAAGGCTTTGGGGCTGCTGGACAGTCCCGAACAGGAACCCATGGAGGAAGCCCCTCACTGCTGGCCAGGACCTACCCCCTGAGACCACAGGTGCTGAGGCTGAGGCTTTGTCCAACCTAAAGGAAGGTCCAGCAACAGAGCACCCCTCCCCCACAACAATCTGGGGGAAACAGACCCTAGGGCTCACCCCGGTGAGTCCTGGAGACACTAGCCCCTTGTGTCAGCTAGACTGCTGAAGCAGCATCCCAAATTCACTTTTTAAAATAACCCAGAATCCACGTTCTTTCACAATTAGAACAAAAGAGAGAGAGGGATTGATCAGATGGGCAATGTTTTATTGCTATATTTACAATGTTAAATCAGTTTGGAAGCCTACCAGTGTCTCTAGCATTATAATAAAATAAATCCTAAATATCTAAACGTTTTAATGTTTGCACTTGGTTTCCTTATCACTTGGTGGGTATGTGATGGGGGGATGTGGGGTTTGCAGGACGGGGGTGGGAAGGGGGTGGGGGGAATGTAGGTGGGTGTGGAGGGATGTTGGGGGATGCAGGTCAGTGTGTGGGTAGGTGTGGGGGGGCTGTTCGCTCCCCAACCCAGCTCCAGCCTCCCACACTGCCCACAGCTTACCAATAGCAACGGCGGTCAGGGCTGCTCAGGGACTTATGTCACAGCCCCTGGTGTGGCGCAGAGCATTGGGGGGCAGCGGGGCTCAGCCCTGGCCACCTGGCACCTGCACTGCAGCTGCCGCATCATGTAGGTGCAGCCCAGCTTGGCAGGGCACCGCACACTGTCTGGAAGCTTGGGGGTGCTGTGGCTGTCACTGGGGGCTCCGAGCTGCTCAGCCCAAGCCACCTGGAGTTCTGAGACAGTGTGCAACACCCTGCCAAGCCGAGCCACACCTGCGTGATGCAGCAGCAGTGGTGCCAGGCAGCTGGGGCTGAGCCTCGCTGCCTCCCACACAGGGGGGCTGTGCCATGAAGCCCTGAGCGGCCCTGACCTCTGCTGCTACTGCCAGTGATTGTGGGGGGGCTGGGGCCAGTTGTGGGAGTGAGCAGGGGAAACGAACAGGGAGTTGGGAGAATGAATGGGGGTGAGGGGAATGAATGGGGGCTGGCTTGGTCCCCCCACCCTCCTCCAGCCCCCCAACCCCCTACTTACCTGGCACAAAGCAAGGTCCAGGTCATTGCAGCTTGCACCACTGCCTGCCCTGCATGGGCAGGCAGCGTGCTTCAGCACCAGGCCAAGAGCCAGCCATAGAGACCCCCTGGCTGGCTGTGTCACTGTGGAGGACCAGGCCTGTGGTTGCCTCAGGGCACAGTCCTGGACCATGCCTTGCCTTGCTTTTTTCCCCCAGGGTACTTTTTGACCCCTGGGTATGCACGCCTAGAGAGGGGAAGTACTGCACCCACTCTACTCTGCATAGGCATGGTCCCATAAGAAACAAGTCCAAATGTTTCTTTGGATATGGAAGGCTATATTCCATCTCATTATCATCCCAGGTTCTTTATGAAGTCCTATGGCATCTTTGTAATGACCTAAAAGATAGCTGACTGTTCTTTGGAAGCACATGTTTATGGTAGGCAAGTCTGTTCCAGGTACATACACTGGAGCTAAGTAGAATGTTTTGAAGTACAGTAAGCAATGATACATGTTTTTAAAAAATAAATAAATAGGATTATCCTTCATAATAAAGGGAGAAGTGGCAAATATAGTTGTGCAGGGAGCATACTTTTATACAGTGCTGACATTTCTTGTAAACCAGGATAACATAAAAACAAACATTTCCACATGTCCTATTAACTGAATTTTTGAAAAACAAAAAACATCAAACACAAAAAAACCCTTTGGATTGAAATGTTTTGTTTTGTCAAAATGAAATGTTTTATTATATTATACTCTACTATCCTCTGCTATACTATACTCACCTATACTGTATCAAGAACATACAAACATAAGTAATGCAATACTAAGTTAGACCAACTGTCCATCTCACCCAGGTTCTAACAGTAGCAAGAGTAGATGCTGTAGAGGGAGAGCACTGAACACTATATGCCTAGTGTGATCTATCCCCTATTCATTTTTCTCCCTAGCAGCCATCACCATTGGATTACTGTTCTTTAATAGCTATTAATGGATCTATCAACTATTCATTTGTCTAATCTCTTTTTGAACCTGGCTCTACAACCATCAGCCTCTACAACTTCCTGTGTTAATGAGTTACACAAGTTAACTTTGCGCTGAGTAAAAAAGTAGTTTTTTTACTTATTAGTCATTAATCTGTCTCCTGCTCATTTCATTGTGTGTCCCCTAGTTCTGATATTCTGGGATTTGGTAACTTTTTCCATCAGAAAATTTCCAGTGAGCAGTATTACCTATAATTAACTCCTACCTGCTTTGGTTATCGCTACTCCTTCACTGATATCTTAATACTTGTTATGCTCTGTTCTTCACAAATGGTGTTGGTGTTCAGTCACTGAGGCTAAATCTTCCCTTATTTGTAAATCAGAAGGGATCTCACTGGGGTCAGTTGAGCTACACTGCTTTTCTTCAGTAGAAGGAGACAATCAAGCTATCTTTGGCTTCTGTTATCATCTCTGCCACTACCATGCCTTTGAAATGGAGGAATGTTTGTTTTAGAAGTGGTACTATGGTGGGTTTATTTTCTGATCCATCCTTCTTCAGGGGGAAGCAGGGATTGATGGAATGAAAGGAGAGAAGGGTGTCCAGGGTGAAAAAGGAGACCGAGGTCCACTGGGATTACCCGTAAGTATCTAGGAAGTAGAGAGAACTTGGCAAGCTATACTTAGTCCAGTCATAAAAAAATTGATAAATAAGATTCAAATAACAATTTGACTTTGTAAAGTGAGATTTAGGGAGCAAAAGAGAGCCTATAAATTGCTATGGTTCTTGCATTTTAGTGGTAAGCAAGTCTCCAGGGTTTTAGAGAATTAGGATAGGCACCTGAAGCTACAGAATCTTCTCTTTTGGGCCTGTTAAACTAGAAGACTCTTTAGAAAAGGGTCCCCTGCATTGTTGTTTCTTCTAATTGGGTTGGAAATGAAACAAAATCAGCTTTTGGCATTCTCTTTCAGTCCTGGCTGTAACCTTAAACGAGAGATGTTAATCATATAGCCTGTAGGCTGGATTTGGTCCACTGAGCCTCTGTATGCAGCCCACTGGAGGGCAGCATAAGTTGGACCCTTTGGCGCTGTTGGGCATGGAGATCGGCAATGAGCTTGGCTCACCACTACTGAACCCTGTGCTCCTGCCGACCTCACCCATACTGGGATCTGTGCTCCAGCCCCTGTGACCTGCCCTGCTGCTGCTAGATCCTCCACTGCCCCCACCAGACCCCACACTGCTGTCGCAATGGCCACTGAGGCAGCCCATGTGCCCTAGGTTAGATCCAGCCAAGCGGGAGCCCCATGGTCTGGGTCCAGCTTGGGGCCCCAAGTGAGTTTGACATCCCTGCCTTAAAGTTTGGAGATGTGCTAAAGTGAAAGAAAAACAGCCTGCTGAGCAATTTGTAACCTGAAAAATGTTTTGGTTCGTGTGTTAGTGTGGTTCTTATTTTGTCCATTGAAGTTCACCTATCCCTGTCATTTCTACAATAAAACCTGAAGGCCTCTCAGAAGCAGGAAATGCCTAACTAAAATGTCACTCTTCACTTTTATATGTAGCAAGTGTAAACTTTTAAGTATAGTTATGATTAAACCAGTGTTACTGTGCAACTCACATATATGCTATCAAAGAAGCTGTAATGAAAATCCTTGGAGTTTAGAATCAGAGTAGCTTTATATCAAATACAGTCAGATTTGAAAGGAAAGGCCCTGAGATTTTTGCTTATTAACAAAAAACACTCAAGTGAAAGCACCAAGTTCACTTTTATTGAACCTTTCTGCCTGGAAACAATACTGCAAAGAGGGTATTTTCCATATGTGTGTGATGTTGCTATTTTTGTTGGCCTTTATCACCCAGACCCCTTGTCCAGTTTTGTCTGGAAATGTGCATGTCTTTGTTTATTACTGTGTTGAAAAAATCATGTTTAAAGCAGTGATTTCAAAACTGACTTAAAAAATGGACACAACACATGAGAGTGGGAAGGGAAGCCCTTCACACAAATAGGTGATTCATACGTTTCCTTTTTGTCCCAGCCACCCACAGTTCTCAGTGGCAATAAAAGTAAAAACAAGCTGCTTCTCAGGGGAGTTTTAACAAAGGTGGAAAGAAAGCAAGAACCCTTTGAATATCTAATTTGCCTTCACAAACAACTTAATCATAAATGCTAAATAATTTTTTTCACTCTTGTTTGTGACTAAACTAAACTAAAGCTGAGGAAGTTGCTGTGAATATGTGAACCAATGACACAAGAATATGTTCACACAGTGCACAGAGAATTAATCTGACAACTCCTAGTAGTGGGAGTGCAGTGAAGGATTCTCCTGAGGCAGTTGTCCCTCTCTGAGGAGGTAGTCCCAGGTACCCTTGTTACTGTGGCATTTGTTTTGACTCTGTGTTTCAACCTGTTTGAAATTATTTGGCTTTTAAAGATACAGCTCCTCTTTTTTCTAGGTATCAAGCCCATTTCTCTCACAAATGTTTAATGCTTGGCAGTTCAACTAAAGCCAGTTAATTAATAAGGAACTATGTTCTTTATTAATGAATCCCCATATTTCCACCTGGAAGCTCACAGAATTGGGGATGGCTCTCCAGCACCTGTGGCAGATATTCTGTAAATTCTAGGCATCTAGATTGCATTCTAGTCCCAAATGGTGGGACTCATTTCAGAATTAATCCATGACAATGCACTGTCTGTCCCAACAGTGCCAGCTTGGTACTGTTGTTAGAAGGGTCTGTAGCACCTGCATTACATTGCCTGCTGTGTTGCCTAGAAAAGCACAGAACAAGTTCACTTTTGTTAACCATCAGGCCATACTTTGGTACAACATGAGAGGGAATAATGCATTTTCAAGGGGATTTTAAAGTCACCAATCAACAGTACTTACATTCAATGTCTCTGTTTTTGTTGGTTTCCTTGTAAGTACCATCACCTGTCCTTGAGGTCTGAGTTTTTGTTTATTGCAAGCATATGTTTGTCTCAAGTCACTTCACTCACCTCTTCCCTCCCCCTTTCCTTTTCCTTCCCTGACCCCCTTTCCTTCCTGCCTTTTTTGTTAACCCTTCCCCATCTGTTCAGGGTGCCTCAGGTTTAGACGGCAGGCCTGGACCACCGGTGAGTTCCATTTCTCCATTACCCTCCATTCCTCTTCTCTGATGCTATGATTCATCTCATCTGTCCTCCCCATAGCCTTGTTTACGATATGACTAACTTTCTTTTCTCTGAACCAGGAAAGAATAAGTCAAACTGATAAATTAAGACACACCTACTGACAAATGAAAAATCACTTTCTTGTCAGTCTCAATATTGTCTGTCCATCTGGAACCAGGAAATTTAGCTTTAATCTCATCCTTTCAAATATTTGGTAAATATGGGTACATTATTGCCATAATTATATTAAATGAAGCCTATGCAGGAATCTTTTGTACTATGTACTTCTGTCCTCATTTTGTGAAATGTCTCCGTTTTGTCTTTCCCCATGGTAGCTTTGCTTACAGCCCTCTGCAACAATGACTCCCCAGATTTGTCTTGGGCCTAACAACACCTTGTGTTTCGTTCTGTGAGCAGAAGGGTTTGTTGTTCATTGTTTTCACATCTACCATTTAGGATTGCATTGAAGTGGGTTGCAGGAACCCTCTCCCAATTATCTGAGATGCACCCCGCCAACAGGAAGAGATACATCCTTTCAGCAAGCATAAATGCCTTCACCAAGTCCTAGAAACCTGGGGTGGAATTTTTTTTAGTAATGATTCCATTCATTTGGGATATAGTGGTGTCTAGTGGTTGAGCAGGAGTCTGAGAATCAAGAGTTGTAGGATCTGCCCCCAGCCCTATCACTAACTTACTGTTATGTCTGGGTAAATCACTTAACCTCTTTGTCCCTAAGTTTCCCAGCCTGCAAAACTGGAATATAAATAATAAATCATAACACTCTTCCAGTTTTACAAATCATTTGTTACTCCTGGACAAAAAATGCTATGTAAGGGTGTCAAGGTTCCTTGCGTGAATTTGATATCTTTTATTAGACCAACCCAAATAGTTGGAGAGTAGTTATTAAGCAAGCTTTCGGGTTCAAAAACCCTTCATCAGGGTAAGGAAGTTTCAGCAGTTGGTGTGTGCTCTTCCTGGATGGAACGAAAAGGGTGTAGCATTTTTATTGCTTCATAGAATGACACACATCCTCCAATTATAATCAGATTTGGTGTTATTCAAAAACACTTTGCTTTTCCTTTTTCAGTGGAACAGGAAGTAATTCCATTGCTCTTTAACTCCTGCCAAACAGAAAATAAACAGCAACCTCCTTATTTCAGGAAGTTATATATTTACTTTTATGAATATGCATATTAGATATTCTAAATAGTTCCGATGGATATTTAGGGAAACAAGGCCTTGAATGATCTTAAAATGACACCCTGAGAAATCCTTACCTCTCACGCAATTCCTGGGCCATCAGGCTACAACAACACTCTGACATTTTCCTAAAACAACAGAAAGATATAGGAAGTTAAAATCCATATGATATATTTCTAAAGGATTATGGGGATGATTTTTTTTTACCTGCTTACACTGATGCAGTGAAATTTGTGTGTTTCATAATAAACTAATTCTCTAGCCAGATTCAGCAAATTCTTACTTAGACGCACAATCTTCCTTAATGACATGAGTCATCTTTTGGGGGTAAGGATTGTAGGATCATGATTAAAGCTCCATGCCCTTTTCCTTCAGACAAAGGGATTAACTAGTGTAAAATGTGTACAGGTTCCAAAAGGACTCCCAACTGTCAGATAATGAGCTTTTCTAGAATTCTAGGAAAGAATTGCTGGAACCGGAACTTGGATGACTGGCTGGTTTTTCACCAAGCCAGAATAATAGGATTTGATTTATCATGGAGTTAAGAAGATAAATGACCATTAGAAAGGTTTAGGAAGGTGTTCTGAGATCTCTGTCTTTGCAAATTTGAGATACCTGCTTTACTTAGCTGGTAAAATGGTGTCAAGGAGAATGCTAGATGTTATAAAGCAGAACACTCAAATGCCCTGTTTCATAGGGGTGAATCTGGGGTCATACTAATGTAAACCACAAGAATCTCCACAAAAGATAGGAATAAGATTTCTTGTCTTTAAGAAGGATAACACTTTTCTTGGGTAGAAGAGCTGTTACCCACCCACTGTAGTGTTAATGCAAAAAAAAAAAAAAAAAAGACCTAAATGGGCGGATTAATTAGCTAACTTGGCAAACTCCAATAAGCCTCAGCACAGCTGAAAAATTTTGTATGAAATTGGGAGGTTGCTCTTGGGCCAAAGGCTGAGCACGGAGCCTGGGTTTTTCTTATAGCATAACCTAGGGCCTGGTAGAACAGTGTAAACGGTGAAAGGGCGGACAGAGGACTTAGAAATGAATGAGTACTCTCTCTCCTGTTTGCATCCGTGTATGTGTGCATCTGCACTAGTCTCTGCGGCATGGTGACCTTTCAGTCTGCATGGTGAGCTGCCTACCAAAAAGTAATGCAAATCCTTATTTAGTTTACGCTCAACTGAACTGACTCAAACAAACAGACAAAACTGCTTAAAAACATGTCTACCTGGCCTTCATTCTGCTACAGTTTTCAGCTTTGTTGGGGGTACAAAGAGAACAGTAAAATTTCACTCATTTGATTTATAAAGGGGTGTATGTCAATATTATTTTTAATACCTACACCTCTAAAATAATGCAAGGCTCTGTAATATTGTACCAGTCCAATCCATTGTAGCTATTCCTGTGTTTTTAATGGTATTTCACAGTTACTGAAAACCCATCCTCATCAGCCCTGAAAGCTGTAGTAATACAAGTGATGTCTCAAATTAACTGGAATCTCCTTCTCAGCTGTGCTTTTTCCTCAAGGAACCATGCTGTTTCCCAGATTTTAAGAAGTTTGTTGAAAGACATGGGTTTATGGGTTTTCTTTTCTCAAATTACAGGGTACTCCAGGACCAATTGGAGTTCCAGGACCAGCAGGACCAAAAGGGGAAAGGGTAAGTTTACTTTAAAACCAAACCTTTCCCAGCCCCTCCACTACCCAGTGTCTTCAAAGCTGCTACAACTTCTCTGAGGAGGGGCTTTTTGTACTTGTGAATGTGAGCCCTTGAGTTGGCCCTTCTTTTATTTTTAATAATTTGTATTTTAGATGCCTGGACACAATATATCTTTTACATTATTTCTCGCACTGTTGGTTCACCCATCTGTTAATAACATCAACCTGTCAATATTGTCTACAAATAGAAGATTCTCTTCTTTTGTCTCTTTTTAAGGGAAGTAAAGGAGACTCTGGAATTGCAGGACCAATGGGACCAGCTGGGCTTCCTGTAAGTAGAGGATCTTTGGTGGTTTTGCCATTTACAAAGCCTTACGGCATCACTTCCAGCAGAAGAATACTCTGTGGCAACAAAAGGGAATGTTCTTTTACTGCCATAGTAGCATCTATATCAAGCTGAGGCAATAGTCAAAGGGAAACCCCAATTCAAATTTTCAATTCAGTAGACTTGTCTCTAGGTCCCAGTACCCTCTTAATGATGTTATAACTTCCCAAAGAATTTAAAACAATTGGAATAATAGGTAAAGACAAAATATATAACATTACATATATCTTGAAACTACTGACCTAAAGCCAAAACTATGCCTACATTATTTATCTATTATACTATGGTGGTGGTATTGAACACCTCCCATTCTAAGTATTTGGTGTTCCATTTGAACGCAGTTCAGAGGACTTAAGGATTCATCTTGGAACCACAGTCACACAAATAGCCTCTCAGTCACATTACTTACATAAGATTTTTACTCATAAAAATATGGGATTGCTGGACTAGAACTTTCCCTTTAATGAGTCACGAGACTGCTTCATTTTTAAAGTATAAATTGAATAAAGTTTGTTGGTTGGCTCATTTTTAAATTGTGTCCTTTTGAATCATATGGTTCCTGTGCTAAGAATAATTTTGACTCGGTAAACAAAGGGATCTGTTTGGCTGACACTGATTTAAAACAGTGTAATTTTTCTCTTGATACTTTTTAGGGTTTACCAGGCCCACCTGGTGACAAAGGAAACCGGGTAAGTCCTGAACCACAAGTCCTTGCATTTGGTTACTAATGTCTTCACACAGTGGTGGAATGGTTAACTTTTGAACTACCTAGGGAAAACTAGGATAAAATCTGACCTGATAAACCTGTTGCTTAGGTTGGTCTTTTACAGTGTGATTTCTCCAGTTTATGCAATATATTATAGCCAAAGATATGATTTGAACTTTAAAGTATACAGTTGGGATTTTCTAAAGTACTCATTGTTGGCTTATCCCTTTTCTCACTGAAGTGGGAATTCTATCATTGACTTCAACAGGAACAGATTTAGGCCAGCATTGAGGGATTTTGAAAATCATACCTTATATAGTTAGTGAGATGGGCAGGGATGCAAACTAAGAATTCCTCCTCAGATTAATGAAGATGGTACAACTCTTAGCACATTGCTCTTAAATTACTCTGGATGGTGAAAAAGAATATCAGCTACTATGCTGCAGCACAATGTCTTTCAAGGGTTTCTTAGAGTCAGAATTTTTTAAGTGAACATGGAAATATGGAGATCAAATAAATATGAATATATTAGAGAACCCAATTGTAAAGTCTTGTGCTCCTTATTCAGGCTTTTAGATGAATTAGTGTAATAACAGTGAGATAAGGCACCCAGTTATGTAAATTTATGTAAATGATAAAGAAATAAACTATACCACGCTGTATTTTTAATGTATAAAAACATATCTAAACCCTACTTTAATCTATTATTTTTATTAGTGTCATGGGAATTCACGCAAATGCTTTCTATTTTATATATTATTTGAATCCTTTGATAACAGTAGTAAAGAGATTTACAGCTGAGTATAGTTTATGCACACCCATATTTTTTTATAAGGTGCTGATACCATATGGACATTCATCTGAAATAGATTAAAGTTGTGATGGAATACGTGCGAAAGTAATAGCTTTATGGATGTATTTTCGGATAACACCTAGTGAGTGCTCATTCTCCCTCTTTTTCATCTGGAGTGCTCTTCTGGTCTGGAATTGGATAAATTAAAAGTTCTGAAAAGTACTAGCCAGTCAGCATGTTAAACAAGGAGAGTCCAAATTTCTTTCACTTCATGGCAACTCCAAGGTGCTGCCACAGTTTTAATCATTCCACTTCTGATTTTGCTTTTTAACTCACTATTTATTTTATTAAGATTGTATTATGTTTCTAAATAAGAAATAACTTTAACAGAATCCTTGGACTTTTTCAGTTGGTTTTAAATCTGGATAATTTATTTTAAAGGAGGGTTTTTGTTGGTTACAGTAGGAACCAATTTAGGCACATGTGACTTGATTGTTCCCATCACATAAAAGTAAATAAAGAGTAGGAAGAAGTGCTCCTTATCACAGACTGCAAACATGGAGTTTCATTGGCCCCTGAAAAGAATCATTGGCCTGAAATGCAACAAATGCTTTGAAAGAAAAACACTTAGGAAACTTGTTTGGGAATGTGCAATACCACAGCTTTTCAGGTCTGACCTTTAAATGTATCTTTTACCACTAGCATTTTAGATAAAGGCGTCCCCTTATCCCAGAATCCTGTTTACAGATTAATAAAAGGCTCTCCATAGAGAAACTCTTGGAAATTAAAGTAAATGTTACAATTTTAAGAGCATCCATTACAAAACTGTGTTGTTCAACTGGAAACACTGCAGAGATCTTAAACGTTCTGAAATATGGGGGCTTCTATGATATCTAATTTGGAATCAAGCCAACACATGGTAATCTCTCTTCAATGACACTGCTTGGTCTCTATAATTATGATCTAGTGTATGATCTTGGAGCAGGGATGAGCATCATCTACAGCACTGGTTCTCAGCCTTATTATACTTAGGCACCCCTACATAACTTTTGTGAACTGACAGACACCATTTCATAACTAATTTATTACAGAGCTTACCTCTGTGCAGAATGGCCAGGCAGTGACGGTCAAGGAGCAGCCCGCCAGGGATGAGCTTGAGCCTGTGCTTATCTCCTCACACCTTGTTATCTTCTTACACTTTTTCACCCTTCAAAGGATTTGGGGGCACCTGGTTGAGAATCACTGACCTCCAGCATGCCTTTTCCCATCATACCTGCGTATCAGAGAGATACTGTAAAAATGACATGGTGTGGGCTTTTCTGAGTCATTTGAATCTTGGCAAAAGTGGTGAAGGATATCTGGAAGGATAACTGATAACCAAACTATTAGGGATCTGCTGGAAGATGTAAAGAATGACAGCAAGAAAAAAGTTTTTAAAATATAAAATCCGTTTGATCCACGGAGATAGACTTGCTACAACAGGACACTGGGAAGACAGCAGTGTAATTAAGTAACTACAAGCACCTGCCTCATGTGCAATAGCCTCTTTTCCAGCTAGATTATGTGTTGATTTTAAATGCTCCTTTAAAAAAATCTAATACCAGTAACATAAATGCCAGTAAGATAAGGGTATATCCACTGTACCTAAAGCATTGAAAGTAGGTTCTGAAAAATCCACTCCACATTCCAATCATTGTAATTTGGCAAAATTACTTCTCAGACTCTCTTCAAAATCTTCCCAATTGCAGAAGGCAGAACAATGTCTTTTTTATGCCCTGGAATTTTTCTCCTGAGCAGAGCCATTTCTTCACTATAGGAAATGTAATAACAGCCTCAAGAGACAGTGCAGGCCTGAAAATGCTGTGCTATGGAAGAGCTGCAAAGCAGATCCTGGAACAGGACTGCCTTTCAGGCAAACCAACTGAAAAAGTGTAAAGCTTTAAAGCCTCATGTGTTTTTTTTAATATCTGTATTTTTTTCTTCTCCTGTGTATGTGTGTCCATGTGTGTTCCTTGCTTCGACAGGTCCTCCTTTGTCCCCTTTATCCCTTCCTCTTTTTTTGCCTTTTCTCCTGGGTCCTTCCTCTTCCCACCATTGCAACCTGTACCACGTTTTCTCCTGGATTATCCTCTCTGTTGCAGTGCTTGATCCCGGGTGATTTCTCCTCATTACCTCTCCTCTCCCATCCGTTTCTCTTGCCAGTTTTGACTTTATTTTACTCATCATCTCACTTTTTTTTTAAATATATATATACATCTGCTGCCTGGTGTTATTTGTACCTTTTAACCCTGACCATTGAAATCCTAAATAAAATTCACTCTTCAGCAATTCTACCTCTGTTTTATGTGCAACACTTTTGAGAAGTTCTTTTTTATTGAGCCACTCATTTTTAAACATATTACAAAAGTATTTTGCATATGTATTTTCTAACAGTTAGATAACCCTAGCCTGTCTTTGATTTGCACTCAATGTTTGCAATGACTTCAGTGAGAATGAGGGTGAACTTTTCCCCTGAGAGGGCTAGCATGAGAATATTTAAGTCCCCTTTAGGATCCATTTATACACAGGCCTTGGGTTGGCCATCTGCATAGGACTGAATTCATCGTCTGGGCTCAAGCCTCCTCTTGCTTAAGCCAGTATAAACCAAGGGAAATGACAGTCAAGTCAGCAGTGGTATAAAGTCAGTGTAAATCCAAAGAGAAGACCCCACCCCAGCCTCATGAACAAATTAAAGCTGTAGTAAATTCAGACACAATTTTGCTGGTTTAAAGAAAGAAAAGTTATTTTACATTTAAAAATACAGCATTTTAACACGGCTGTGCAACACCCAGTGGAAAATGCTTACCTGAAGCTAATGGCACTTAAAAATAATGTCAGGGAATGCACTTGAAGTTAATAGTTTAAAATTATATTGTTATGAACCAGAACTACTCTGAGGTGAGGGGGGCAAAGGGAGGTAGACAAAAAACAAAGTCCATGATTAGCATATGAGATCCAAATTTGAAAATGGCTGAAAGTCAGTTGTTTGCTGTGTGACTAGAGCCCAAGAAGGTCATAGACATGATGTGCTTGGGCTCCAGAGGAAGGGTAAGGGCTGTTCAGTGTGTGAGCAGCCAGGCTGTGGAGTTGTGTGAGAGCTCACCCTCACCCCTGCCCACCTGCAGCAGGCTTCTCAATATAAAACTAACTATAAATTCACTGGGGTTATAATTCTTTTAATGAAAAAAATGGGGTCACAGTCCTAGTAGCCTGTTAGGTTTGGAAATCAATAACTATTAAAGTGCTTATACCTCTAAAAAAAATGGCAACAATCCCATAGAATGGTTTCCTGTAAGAGCATCCTATCTGAAAGTATCTCATCTTTTACAGTATTTTTCTAGATGTTTATCTTTTTTTTTCTTTTACTGTCACTGACACTTATTTGAGATGGATGATCCTAAAGCTTTTGTGTATTTTTTTCTCGGACTAAACTATTATTTACAGGGGGAGAGGGGCAAGAAAGGCTCTAGAGGGTCTAAAGGGGATAAGGGAGACCAAGGAGCGCCTGGATTAGATGCACCCTGTCCATTGGTATGTTCTGTTTTATCAAATGTATTGTTTTAAGATTTGTCAATGGGAAAGAAAGAAGGAAAACTTAAATTAAACAATGACTACTCTGGTATCACAAAAGTCACATTGCTCAGATAAGGTCCTGTCCTATTTCCACTGTAGTCTACGGCAAAGCTGTTTTCTTCAGTGATATATAGGGACAACTCCGTAAGCAAGTGGGCTGTTGAGTAACTTCGCCTGTTCCTTTCTTTTCAGAAGCTTAGAAAGGAGAGCAAAGGGCTTTCATTGTGAAAGTAGAGCCCTGGAACTCCTGTTGTGATCCCAGCTACAGATTCCGTTTTGGAAATATTTAACGTCATCACCCTTAAGTAGCAATGAAATCTAAAATGCCTTCTTTTTTCCCCTCTGAGTAGTGACCAGCTGATGTGGTCAAAAACTAGGTCTCCACTTGATAACAACACAGGACACCCAGGTTAAGATACCCAGTGGGAACACAAATTGATATGAAATACAAAATGATCAGGATGACTATTTCATTCAACATGACATCCTCTCACTTCATCAGGAGCTTCCTGTTACATTTAAAAACAGCAAGAATGCCTCAACTTCTTCTTGATGAAAAAACTCTTCTAAAATCTTGTTGAATAGCCACAATGTTATATGATAACAAGTTCACAAAGATATAACCTGGCTGTTTCAGGAAGCTCGAGGAGTGTAAAGTGTAATTATTGGTCCTTTCAATTCTTTCCTCAGTTAAACTAATTGCTATAGTTGAAACCACTTTTGTACCACAGTGCTAAATACAGATTACGTACTGAGAAAGATCCGTAACAGAAATTAATCTGTATCAAAGCGAGGATGGGAAGTGAAAATGATTTCTGAACAGAGAGATCTTCTTCCCAGTCCTCCCTTATTTAACAAAATCAGAGGCAGCTTCCGACGTTTAAAATATATTGATCCAAAGAGACAACTGTTACTTCTGATTGCCTAGATATTGTGTGTTTTATGTCTCTGACTGTCTCTGCACTGGGTATACAGCTTGAGTGCCCTCCCAGTGTAGGACTGGGCCTCTCTTCCCACAGCAGGGAGGTAGCTAGCATTGACTGAAATAATTATAGTGGTTGATTTCATGAACAGGGACACCGATGTTTTAAAGGCGAGAAGGGTGAGCCGGGGTTACCTGGGCTGGACGGGCTGGATGCCCCTTGCCCATTGGTATGGTGTTACCTTCCCTTTCCTGCATGGTTTCAATTTGCTGCTTTTTTAAATGCTGTTTGCTGATTCCTTCAATACTGGCATGGACTGTCAATAAATCCCTTTTTACCAATTTCCCTCCTATCTCCACTCATTCTGCTTGCTTCAGAATGTGATCCCTAACCCTTTTGCAGTGAGTCAGGGTTGCTACAACCATCTCTTTGTGGTATGGGTGGAAACAAAGCAGCAGTGTGGCTGTCTTTCCCCATAACACAGCTTGAAAGTTCATTCATAATTGCTTCATCTCAACCTTTCAGTTTTCCTTCAGAGTTTCTCCTGGACTGATACTTCAAAGTCTGACCCTCAAATACTTCAGCTTTCAATCTGATAAGTTGATATGCTTAAATCCTGCACTAACTCAACTTTCAAGTATTTATATTTTGCCAGCAAAGTCTGACATCCTCCTACATTACTTAGGTGCCTTCCATATTTTAAAGCAAATCATAAGGATACATATATAACCCAAATCAATCCATGAGAAATATCTCAATACAATATTTCAATCCATCAAATTGTCAAAAATGATTTTCTAATTGTACTGTCCTAGAAACAATAAAGCATTCTACCCTTTTGGCACAACTTAATATAAGTCCTTTTCTAATTGCCAGTCCCCTTCACTCATTAACCCTATTAATGTCTGAAAAAAAAAGGATTTTGCAGCGTGCCAAGAGTTAAACAAATTCAGACTCAAATGGAAAAGTCTTTGAACTGAAGGACCTTCATGCAGAACCATCACTCAACAGTTTCCTCTGTTCTGTGTTAAGGGAATGCAAGTTCAAACTCTGCTGTTGACCTCTGTTGTGGCTGTATACTCAACATATCTGTTTTCCGGTTTACCTTAATCTCAGAAAAGGTTACCCTTGTCTTAATCTGCCCAACAAAATGCTAAAATAACTATTTTAGTAGTTTTATTCACCTTCCTCAATACTCTGTTAACCAAAATATGACAAAGTTATTCAGGAGTTTATTACCACAGCTAATCTATGTCATAAATCCAAGTTTACCTAAGAATGGTAGCACCAAGTCTTGCCAGACATATGCAGCCCTTTGCACAAAAGGTGTAACCACAAGTAGTTCATTTGAACCTCCCTGTTTCAGAAACAAACCAATTAGAAAACTTTAGGTGCAGGAAGAAGTGACAATTTTCACTCAATCTGCCCTCTGACAGCACTCTACAGCCATAACCAAACAGAAGTGCTTGGCTGAAGAGCACCTTAAAAGGGCCTGATCCCACAAAAATCTGAATTCTCATTGCATGAAGGTCCAGCAAAATGGAGTGGCTTCAGTAACTTGTGTCTGTGCTGACCTCCCAGCCCTGGTGCTATCTTCAGAATGGGATGGGGGAAAAGGAGTGGGGGGAGTTCAGTATGGGGTTTTTTTTCAGCTGGTACTGGAGGCTGAGGCAGGTGGATTGGAGCTCTGCCAACATGGGGGGCTCCAATCCATCCACCCCACCCACCAGTGCCGACTGGGGAACGCCCAGAACAAGTTACCTCTGCTCCCTTTCCCCACACCCATTCTGAAAACAGCACTGGGGTTTGGAGTGGGGACAGGCATTGCTAGGGGAGAGTGGATGCAGGCTCACAGCCTCTCTAAACAGCAGCTCGATTCCCCAACCCCTGGGACCCAACAGTGAACTTCCTGCAAAGCACCATAAGTTCCAATGGGGAGCTACTCTTCTGTCTATGCCTCATGTAAAAAAGAGAAAAAGCCCCAAACTCAGATCCTGCATCTAGGTAAATATATGCAGTAAAATGTTTGTAAAATATTTACAATTTTATCTTTGAAACCAGCTAACACTACTGATACTCTTGGTTTTCCTTGTATCTTGAACTTCCATTTGCTCTTCAGAATAAATAATTGAATGCTGATAACTATTTACAAAGCTAAAATTGTGAACATTTTAATGGCAACAACTGTTCTGAATACTGATTAAACAAACAGATGCTGACCACATTCTTATATGTGCCATCCTAGCTGGCCAGAGAGGTTAGAGATGGAACTGTTGAATACATTTCACCTCCTGCTAGCATAAGTCAGCTTTCTACGGCACATTCCTAAGTGGTATGAAATGTCCAGGAATAAAGAATATCCTCCATGTTTTGAGGGTGTTGTAGCCATGTTGGTCTAAAGACATAAGCAGACAAAGTTCTTTGGATAAACGTAATATCTTTTATTAAACCAACTAAATAGTTGGACAAATTGTTCTTTGCAAGCTTTCAGGTATAAACACCCTTCTTCAGGCAGAGGCAGAGTTTGCAGTTGTTTTGTGCTCTCTTTGGAGAGCAGACTGGCATTCTTGTACACTGGCTTCTGTCCCATCCAGGAGAGCACAAAACAACTGTAAACTCTCCCTCTGCCTGAAGAAGGGTGTTTATACCTGAAAGCTTGCAAAGAACAATTTGTCCAACTATTTAGTTGGTCTAATAAAAGATATCACATTTATCCAAAGAACTTTGTCTGCCAGGAATAAAGACTCTACCACTGCCTTTGGAAAATTATCTGACTACTTTCTTTGGCATTACTCCTCTCAAGTCAAAATTATACTCAGAGGCAGCATCATAATGCATGTCTTTTCATGATTGTTTTGTTTGGGGAAACTCACTAGAATATTTGGTGAATTAAAGCTCACAATATATATAATAATCTGGCACCTGCGTAAGTTCGGGACACTGAGCATGGTTTTTGACCTAAACTTGTTAATACCTTACTTCAGCCTGGCATTGTACTGACACATCTCACTATTCTTCAGAATCTGCACGACTATTTATGGAGGCCAAAACTAAATCTTTTTAAGTCTGAAAATTTGTAATCTAAAAATTCACTAACAACCATGTTCCACAAGTTCCTTCCTTTGCAAACTAGCCTGCAACAAACACTTCCATGTGACTCCATTCTTCCTTTGATCCCTAAACTGTAACTTCCCAGCTTCCTGTTCCCTCATACACCTAACTTTCCTTTTCCTTCTTCAGTGGACTACAAAATTAATTCCCACCACCACCAGTGTACCAATGGCAGCATCACTACTTCCCCATTAGTGGATTCATAATGACTTATTTCCACAGACCCATATTGTGTGGGAAAGAGTGTTGTTGAGAAACCACATTAAGAAAAATGGATTTAGAATGTAATATGGTTCTACCATCCATGATGATATTTGGTCCATCAAAGTCCCTTGAAACTGTATTTCATTTAACTAGTTTATCTTTCAATATAACATTGCATTTTCTTATTTGGGGGGGCCTGGGGGGTGGGAGTCCTTTATTTTCTTTGTTTTAAAATGAGATATTAAGCTTTGCAGATATCTCAGGCAGTAATTCAGGAGCTGAAAACATATTAATTTGATTAAAGAAAATGCATTCAATTCATCCTTTGTCTAATTTCCCTGACTAAACAGAGTTACATCAGGGCATTTTGCCTAATAGCTTGATCTGCGAGAGAAACATTAGGCTACCTCTATAAGGATTTGATTGAGTTTTCTAACTACCAATGTCTTCACTCATTAGGTTAGGCTTTTCACATGTTCATTATTTCATTCCCAGTAGCTTCTCCTCATTAACCTTAATTTCCTATTTCTCAAGGTTAGATAATGCTAATGTGAGTAGAATTAATGTTTCACAAAAATTCATCTTCCAGTTATCCAGGCAAGAAGCGCCCTGTCTGTTTCTTCTTAATATTCAAACACCCAAAGTTTTAAAAAAATTAAAATATAAAATATAAAAATAAACTCATCTAGAGATGCCTGACCCTGCAACCTTTTAGTACAGGATCTCCTTAATTTCAAAAGGAAATTGGCATATAAAGATCTGCCTAATCCTGCCAGTCCTATTAAGACAAAATGCCTATTGTGTCAAGTATTCAGATTGCCACAAAGGGCCAAAAAGGTGAATTAAAGTTGGAGATTCCTTGAGCATAGGGGAAATTGTCAGATGGTTGAGAATTGCTCCTGTGCTTTCTGGCCTTTCTTGATATAAGGATATTTCAGAGGCAGGAAGGAAAGCAGCTGGCGCACACTGCATTGCAGTAACCAATCCCAAAATAATGGCCTCTTGGATGCAGATAGTCAATGGAGTATAGAGCAGCTCTAAGGCACCTCTGTGTTATGTCAGGGACTCATTTGGCCATGGGCTGCACTAAGGATTGGAGCAGAAAGGGAATGGAAAGGTAACATACCATTTTGCTCAAGGGAGTGCTGTAAGCATCACGTGGTAATAAGCATTTAAAATAACTCAGCTTTTAGTTAAACTGGGCAATGCAGCAGCCAATTTATAAAAAGTAACAGTAGATGAATGGGAGCCTTATGTTAGAAACCAAAAAATATCAGCCACATATTAAAGTTAACACAAAAAACAACCTTTGCCATTTACATATTAAATCTGTTGCAAAAATATTAAACAGTGAAGTCCATATGGTGATAGTAATGTAATTCTTTAAAGCAGAATGAAACCTGTTCTGTTTCCTGTGTTCCCATTTCAATGCCACTTGTCAAAAATGGAGTAACTGAACAAACTGGGCACATAGTAATTTCTATACTATGTTCTCAGCATAGCCATCTGGATTCTGGGCTTCACTATACTATGTTCTCAGCATAGCCATCTGGATCCTGGGCATCCCCCACACAGCTAAGGGACTAGCCAACAGTATCAAGCTAAACTCATTATATTCCTCTTTACTGAAAGCACTGCAGTATTGAAAAGGCCTCATTCCCACTGCTGTCCTTCACACAGACCACAGAGAGCACAACTACAAAATAGAACTAGAGGGCAATGAATACCTGCATCAATCCTGTGACTCTTATTAAGAGGATAAGTCTAACAATTTTACTTGATAATGTATGCCCACAGATAAATTGGCAAATCTCGTTAGGAATGGTTAATGGCCGGCTGCTGCCATTCTAATGACTGTCTCTGATTGCTTCATCTGTGTGCTGTGGCTTTGCCACATTTCTCCTATTAGCACCCCTGCTCAGAGTAAAAGTGATAAGCAATGTGACAAAGTGCCTGCTGACATTTCAGCAGATTTGACATAAGGGACTTCTTACCAAAACCCAAGTTTGCAGCTAAAAAAGTGCAGCACTCACTGAAATTTGGTTCATGAGTACATGTGATCATTCCCTTCTTCAATACTAAAACAAGTCCCTTAACACTAAGAGAGAGCGTACTGAAAGAAAAATATTTTCTAGCCATTCCTCAATCCAGAGGTTGGTGCAGTGTTTGGGATTTGCTTCACTATATTTTATCATCTCCATGTTATGATATGGAATTATGTAATACCATAAACCAGTCATGCTATGTCTTCCACTGCCAACATCTGGGAGCTTTCATGAATCCTCCTTCATGGCTGTGCCAAACACATTTTCAAAGTGCATGACATGCATCAGCCCTCACCCCATTGCCCATTGAATATCTGATTTCTGGTTCAGTCTTGGTCATATCTTTCAGACGGACATATGTGTTACACAAGATAGATGGGAAATTATATATATATATTTGCCACATTCCCCCTACACACACACATACACACTCTAGACACTCATCCTAGCCCAATTCTGATTTAAAATGTTTGTTGCAGCTGTACTAGTTAGCCCTTTCTGTCCTTCCCTCTTGATTCTATCTCCTGTGTCCTAAACTGTATTTGTTTCTTTATTGTAGGGGGAAGATGGCTTGCCAGTTCAGGGATGTTGGAATAAGGTAAAACAGACTTTGGGGGCTGTGCTGAATTAGAGGTGTCGCTGCATTTTGCAGGTGCTTTTTTGTTAGTCTTATAAAATAGATATGTAAAGTGTACAGAGGATTCCCACTACAACACTCCTGACAAACAATAAACAAACCCATCTATTTACTCTATAAAATACTACACAAAAATATGGTCTGAACGTGAGGGGATTTTATGAGGACCTTTGATACTTCAGATCTTCAAAAAGAGCTAATAATTCCACAAAAAAGAATTTGATATATTAATTGTAAGCAATACTTCTATTCATAGATCTCCAAGCACTTTCTAAATGTGGGTAAGCACTGATATCCTCATTTTGGAGAAACTGAGACAGATTAAAGACCAAAATTGTCAAAATTGAGTATCTAATATTAAGCACTTGAACCTATGCAAAAATAATAATTGACTTGATTTTCAACAGAGACAACCACAGATAGAATTCAACTGCATTAACTTGGAGTTATCATATAAATGAGGAAATTAATATCTTTGAGACTGGATGTCTAGCTTAGATGTAATTGCCTTTTATAAATCTCTCAAATTCTCCTCCCCTCACCAAGTTAAATATTGAAAACTCTCACATTAGGCCTCGATCTAGCTAACATTCTGTGATCTCATGGAACTCTAACTTAGAATGTCCAACTTCAGATGCCCAGACCCGTATTTTCAGATGAGCTGAGCACCTGCAGTTCCCACTACTTCACTTGGATTCGTGGGTGCTCAATACCTCTGAAAATCAGATCCTAGGTTTCTAAATTAAGACACTCAAAACAGAAGCACTTGAAATTATATAAGCCTCAGCCTCTTGGTGCTTCTGTATGTCATCTACAAGAAGGGTCGAATGTAGGAATTAGCTAACTAAAGGTACACCTGTACTGTGCTAGGTAGTGTTATACAAAGACATGCCAAATCAGCTGTTGTTCACACTAGCTCCTAACGCAGAAATACAGTACCCATGATGTAAGTACAGTGCTGTGCCCAAACTGATCATCTGTACTGTGAGGGGATGAGCCTGAAGGCAGAGCTCATGGGTACACACATTTTGCTGCACCAATGGTTACCTTACTTCCAGTTTGAGAATTACCATATGTGGAGTGGGCACGGTGTCTTAGTTCAACTCTGTCCTGTGCCACATAGATACACCCTAAATATTGGTAAAGTGCTTTGAGTTCTTTAGATAAAATGTGCTCTAATAATAGGTACTAACTTAATGCGCCATAATCAGCGCTACTGAGCAGTAGCACAGATGAACACTTCTTATGTGACGCTAATACACAATAGATTAATTCTACTGCGCATTAGCACATTAGCATGTTGTTTGCTAGCTGTGCTAATACACAGTATAATTACTCGATTGTGACGTTAGCATCTCATGTAGATGCGCCCACTGTGTCAGAAACGGAACTCTCAGGAACTCCAAGGTCTGTCTGAGGTTTGCAGCCATGACTGTTTATACAAATCCTGGCAGGGCAACTTCTGGATGTGCCCACTGGGCTGAAGATTCCTTGTCCATGACTTATATACACAGACACAGTCACACAAACCTTCCCAACCCTTTAAAGAAAGGCAGCACAGAACCCTGCTCAAGTCCCTTTTCCCTTCCTTTTTGACAGGTCAGCTGCAGAAGCATAACTGGGAATTCTAGCACACTAGGCGGGATAGGGGAGGTGCTGAGCAGGGGAGAATCTTACCATAGACCAAGGATAGGCAACCCTTAGCATGAGTGCCAAAGCATGGCACTTGAAGGCATTTTGCTTGGTACACGCACCTTGGGTCAGTCAGTGTGGGGAAGGACCAGGGCTGCGCTGCCACAAGGATCAGGCCCCTCACAGCTCTCCTCCCATCTGCCCCTGGCATGCCAAAATCAAGTCAAGGTTGGACTTGATTCTCTGCCTAAAAATGTTTCCTAAAAAATGTCTCTGCCTAAAAATGTTGCCAATCCCTGCCACAGACTCTAAAGACCTTGACTGCTGTTGCCACTGTGGCCCAGTCTTCCCTCACACTGGGGGTTGCCACTATATGGGTTGTCTGCACACTAGTGACCATTCCTGTGGCCGCTGTCATGCAGGCTCCTGGGGACCACCATACTTGCCTGCCCTTAGTTACGCTACTCTTCAGTTGCATAGGAATTACTAAATCCGTAAGACTTTTGAGGCTTACATTGTGGCCCCTTTTCAGGACCAGCCCCTTAGTCTTATTACCAGCTATTTGTCTTAGTGCAGAATGTAACTCCACCAGCAGCAAGGAGCCGCACCACAGCCTAGCATGGTGTGGGCTCCGGGTGGCCACAGCAAAAACCACCTGGTGGCAGTGAGGAGGAGGAGTTGCTTTCTCCCTCACCAAGCAACAGTTTCTGCCCAGCTGCTGTTGCCGCCGCTGCCACTGCTCAGCCCCAATGGGCAATCCCGGAGCCGGTGCAGGGCATGCAGAGTCA